CTGCAAAACTGCAGAGCAAGGTTGCAAACTACAACCTCTTGCTTGACACTGCAAGACTTCCCAAGCAAGGTTGCCAAAGCTACGACCTGAAGGTTGTTCAAACAGAAGTTCCACCACAGGCCTGTTTTCAACACAAACTTAAGACATTCCGCAACTGCAGGGCAAGGTTGCACACCCTGGCAAGGGTTCTTGCCACCTGCTGCAAGAATTCCAACACCAAACTGACACTTCCAACACACTGCCCAAGCAAGCTGCCAAACTGGGCTCCAACTGCATTGCAAAAATTGCAAAACTGCAGCTCTGTCTGCCAAAGCTACAACACTGCAAGACTTCCAAAACTGCAACGCACTTGCAACAGTTGCACACTAAGGCCGCTGCAAGCCTTGTCAAGAAAGCTCCTGGCCTGCCAGAGTTTCAACACTGCTGGCTTCCCAACTCACTGCCCTGGCCAGGCCCGCTGCCAAACTACAGGCAAGCAAGAAGTTCCAACAAGAGTTCCAACACTGCAGGCCTTCGTTGCAAAACAGACTTGGCAGGGCTGCAAAACTGCAGCTCTGTGCGCCAATCTCCAACACTGCAAGGAAGGGTTGCAAACTTTGCCAATCTGAAAAGGTTGCGCGTTTCAAGCAAGTCTGCCAAACTGCAGGGCAAGGTTGCAAAACTGCAACTTGCCAACCTGCCAAATTTCAATACCCTGGCAAAGGTTCTTGCCACCTTCTGCAACACCAAACTGACACTTGGTCTCTGTCTGCCAAAGCTCCAACACTGCAAAAATTCCAAACTCTAGCCCGCTTGCAAAAGGGCACTGCAAAACTTGTCAAGCACTGCAAACTGGCAGGGCTGCCAAACTACAGGCCAGCAAGAAGTTCTAACAAGAGTTCCAACACTGCAGGCCTTGGTTGCAAAGCAGACTTGGCATGGCTGCACAACTCCAGCTCTGTACACCAAAGCTCCAACACTGCAAGGCTTTGCAAGACTCCACTGTAGGCCCAGCTCCAACACGGCAAGGCTTTTCAAGCCACTGCCAAGCAACGCAAGTCTGCTAAACTGCAGGTGGCAAGGCCAACCTGCCAAAGTTTCAACACTGCAAGCGTTCCCCGCTTGCTGCCAAGCAAGGCTGCAAAACTATAGACCTGGCAAGGTTGCAAAATTGCGCACAAGGCTGCAACACTGCAAGGCTTTGCAAAACTGCAGCCCCTGCCAACCTGAAGTTTCAAAACTTTAAGAGTTTCCAAGACATTGCCCAAGCAAAGCTGCCAAACTACAGACCTGGCAAAGCAAGTCTGCTAAACTGCAGGCGCTGCAGGCCTTGGTTGCAAAACAGACTTGGCAGGGCTTCAGCTCCAACACTGCAAGGATTTGCAAAACTGCAACCCCTACCAACCTGCCAAAGCACTGCCCACGCAAAGGTGCCAAACTACAGACCTGGCAAGGGCTGTAGGCCCAGCTCCAACACTGCAAGACTTTCCAAGCAAGTCTGCTAAACTGCAGGGCCCTGGTAAGGTTGCACAATTGCCAACCTGCAAGGGCTCCCACGCGGTGCCTTTTGACCGCCATGGCAGGGCTGGGCTCACAGTTGAGCTATTCTTAATTCTGTCCTGTTGGATCTCAAGGTTACTTCTACGACTATGGGACATATTGTCTCATTTTATCCAGGGGCGTAAATAACTGGAGGGTGTTGATCTTTTTATCTGTGTAGTTTCCTTCAAGCTTGTAAAGAAGGGAGACCGGTAGCTGCCAAAACTGGAGTCACGACCTTTCTTTGTAAAGGGGCGGCAGGAGATCGTAGGTGTGCGTTAAAGGGGGATCCTTGCCCAGAAAGCTGGCATCCCCTGCATCATCTGGGGTCGGGGTGGGCAACATGTATAACCTAACCAACCATATCATAGCACAGAATATGTTTCTCATACAAAAACACATGATATGACATGGTATAACTTCAAAAAGGCGTAGCCGGCTAGAGGCCGCAGGCCCAGAAAATACACCTTATTTTTTTCCGATCCTCGTTTGTTAGCAGGGCCGTCATTTTGGAGCCTCTACTTAACGAGCTATTTTTCGTAGTTCTACCATGGTTTTAAGCCGCCAATCTTCAGAAAACCCATGGATTTTTGCTATTTAAAAAACGCCCCGCGATCCTCTACGGACTTTGAGCTAGTCGACCTTCGAAAACTCGTATTTTTTGCGATTTATAAATCCCCCCCGCGACCCTCTGCGGAATTTGGGCTGATCGACCCTCGAAAATTTGTGGTTTTTTGCGATTTTCAAATCGCCGCTCGACCCTCTACGGAGTTTCGCGTGATTGAATCGCCCTCGGTATAGCGCGGCGCTCATTTTATTGAAGCTACGAAACCTAAACCATTGCCAAGCCAATGGGATTTACCCCAACGTAAACTAGCTACGAGCTCGAAACCATCGCCAAACCATTGGGATTACTTCTAAAGTGCTTCTCACTCAGCGCTAGCGCGCGACTCGAACTTTTACTATTAAACGTTCTAATCACAAAAGCTCTACTTTCGAATCTTTCTTCGTCCAAATCCAAGATTCGTAGCTAATAGTTTGCGATTGAAAAGCGCACTATTCAGCCGGGCGCCGCCTCGTTCTCGACAACGGGCTCAAATTTATGGACAAGACTTGGCCGCCCAATGAAATAGGAGCTTGGGTGGGTGGTGTTTATCAGCCAGAACCTATGCATAAAGTGCTCTTTGTGATTTGTTTTCCTGGGATTTGGATTCACCCTAAACACTAAACCCTAAACCCGCCCTAAACCCTAAACCCTATTTTCGGCATCAGTGACATTCCTAGAAAGCGGGCATTCGCGCGAGGATATCGATACGTTCTTCTCCAATGTGTCTGAATATCCCAATGGTGTTATAGAGATTGAAACAGTTCATGGCTTCGTGCAAAACTTTTTGGATCGCCCAGGGACCCGACCGACTAAGCCTGCTTCATGCTGCTGCTTCAACTTCTCCACATGTCTCTCATCTGGCCGCACAATTATACCACCCGGAACGATTTGGTACCGCTTCTTAAGAAAACAAAATTCACCATCAATGGGGATAGGGCTTCGCAAATCAATTTGCACGTGTTTCGAAAGCCGTCCATGCAACGAAGACATCTGTATCATCTCCTGCAAAAATGATATCGTCTGCATGTACTTGCGCCAGGATCAATCCGTTTGCACACTCAATCCTGTACAGGGTTGGTTGCTTCACCATGCATCCGGCAAAAGTTCATAAAAGAAACCGCACCACTCTGCTGCTGCAATCCTCTGTCCAGGCAAGAGTCGCTCTAGCAACCAGGTAACTCCATCATGACGTCCAAGAAGGCTATTGTCAACATGGATGATGACAGAGTGCAGTTGCGGGACCCTTAAGTATGCATCTTTAACCTCTCCCATAAAGATGGGAAGGCTAAGAGCCATCCCCGACAAAAGCATGACACGCCCAATATTCACACTTCAGGATGGAGCAAATGCCACTCAAGCAGCTCCTGCCGCTTCCTGCTCAAAAGCTCGTGACGCTGCCTCCGAGAACATGCGGCAGCAATCGCTGGCCTGCATCCAAATGCGCTCTGAGTCAACGAAGCGCCCAGACATTCTTGCTGCCAAACCAAAGAAGCAGCGAGAATCGGCGGCGAACGCGCTGAGGTGTTCCGTAAGTACCGTCGCCATGTATCCAATAGGCCGCCTACGCTCCTTCATAGTCGAAGTCTAGCTTGTGACTTCTCGAACTGCCGCCCCTATCGGGTCCGGGTTGATCGCGTTGCAGCAAATCTCGTGTAGAGCATCTACATACCGCACATCTTCATGCCACAGCACGTTACCCAAACCAATCCTGCATTACATCACCCCGGCCGAACAAGCACCCCACCCGAAAGCTCTCCTCTCATGAACGCTATCATCCCCACCCCACCCCACCCCACCCCAAAGAGCGGTCGCCTCTCATCTCATGAACGCTATCATCCCCACCCCGCCCCACCCCACCAAAGAGCGGTCGCCTCTCATCTCATGAACGCTATCATCCCCACCCCGCCCCACCCCACCCCGCCCCGCCCCACCCCGCCCCACCCCACCCCGCAGGCATCGCTGCCTCTGAGCGCTATCTTGGGCCAAACTACATGTTGTTGCAGCAACAGGGCGAATTTTCATGATCCCACGCGCGCTTTCCACACACTCCGCCCAACCAACCAACCAACCAACCAACCAACCAACCAACCAACCAACCAACCAACCAACCAACCAACCAACCAACCAACCAACCAACCAACCAACCAACCAACCAACCAACCAACCAACCAACCAACCAACCAACCAACCAACCGCTGAGGCTCAATCGCATTCATTAAGCACTCAGTAGCACCCAAAAGGCACTCAGCAACACTTAGTAAGAACTGAGTAAGACTCAGTCACAACCCAAAACATCACATTTTGTCGCACTCATGAAACACTCAATCAGCACCCTAGAACAGCACATGGGCGGTCCTAGGCTGAACAAACACTCAGTAGCACGCAACACCTCCAGCCCCAGGCAAGCTTGAAGTCAGTGGGCCAACAACAAGCCAGCAACTCCAACTTTTGCTATGCAAGACTTGAGAAAGCCGTGTTCTTCAGAGGTCGGGGGTCCCACATGCCAAATCCTTGCTTGGGCTCAGTGGTGCTCAGCAACACTCTGTGAGTCGTCCTAAGATTGTCACATTTGGGGCGGGGGGTGACGTATTCATGATATTTACAACATTAATAGGAACATACTTACATCTACTGATCAATTATTCAAAATCAAAACAAACCAACAAACAATAATTTTGGCAAAACTCAATCCAAATATATCCAAGAGCTATTATTATACAGTACAGCAACCGAATTTATGATGAGAGTACACCGGGTGTGCGACAAGCTCTTTCTTGGACTCATGTTCCTGTGTTTTCACTCACTTTGGCTTTGATCCGTCGGCAGGCATAGTGTGCTTAATATGAGTTCATGACGGTGCTTTCATATCCTGACACGCACACACACACGCACACCGCTGGCTCCCTGTGGCTTTCAATGAGTCATTTATCACAGCTGCTCAACCTTGCTTGAGCTACGTTGAGTCATCTACAAGTCACGCCCTGGCACATTGAAGAGCCAATGATTGGCGCGCGACATACTACCCTAGCAATCCCAATCGCTCAGCATGGCACGGCGAATGCAGCATCATTCAAAGTCAAGGCCAGCGACTGAGCAAGTGCATTCTTCCCCAAGCCTATGGCAGGATGTGGCAACAACATGGCTCTCTCCACAGCAGAAATTAGTCCGGACAGCAGAGCTTTCCAGAATCTGCCCTTCCTGTTAAAAAGACCCATCCATGATGAATTCAATTCAGCCAGCTAGCCTACTGGTCGCATATGCATAAATCAGCTGCAGTGGGAGATTGTCTCCATTTCCCTTGCAGAACTGTCTGAAGAAGTTCTCACAACTGGTCAATCTGCATGGCACATTCGCTCCTGAGCTGCGCTCACAGGCAACATCAAACACGCCCGGTAACACAACAGGCCGCAGCACTGGCTGTGCAGCAGGCAAAGAAAGTCAATTGACAGCCAATGGTTAACTGGGTCCTCCCACTCTCTATCCGCCGAATTCATGAACAGAGGTTCATGCGTAACAGAATTCATGCACAAAATGACTAAAAATTGGATAGGCGAGGAAATAGGCAAGGGTGGAAATCGAACCCAGTCCTGTCGACGCCAGATGTGTTATGCTATAGAAATCTACCTATACAAAGGGTGCATGCGCTATGCTTGGTCTTTTGGTTTGTTGACCGTTTTTCTTGCGGACCAACATGCTGTGTTTTGCAACATGTTCGAGTAAATCCTTAGCTTTTTGGGCAAGTCTTGCCAGCATCCAGCAACACCACCAACACTTCAGCTTGGTGTGCGGCTTGGAAAAGTTTTGGGGGTCAGGTTCGAGTGGGTTAAGTTTAATGGGGGCTGTTTTAGTAAGGTGAATCTATTTGTAGAGGCAGTCGTACTACCATCATTCAGGGCAGGCTGAGCCTTTTGTCACGTGGGGTTTGGTTTGGGGTGAGGATAGAGTGGTTTAAGGCAAACAGATGTTGCCAGAAATTGACCTAGGCATATGCTAGAAATAAGAGACGCAAACAGGCTGCACACAGGCGTATCTCAGATATATGCTGTTAGTATAGTTGTGTGAAAGCAGCCCCGCCTGGCTGATCCAAACGCGCCGCATCCAACCCAAAACACAACAAAGCAAGCCGAAAAAATAACAACACCAAAACAAACAAAAACAACACGCAGGCTTGCTTTTGTTGGTTCGGTTGGCTTCTTGACTTCTTGAGGTTGTTGTTTGGGTTCTTGTGATTTATTATATTTTTCTGGAACTTGGTGTGTGGTTCTTCTGTTTTGGTGTTTGAGCTTCAGTGATCTTGTGGTGGCTTCATTCTGTCTGTGAGCATAGAAACGCATTGCAACAACAGAAACCAAAAGTACGGGAGAAACCGCACCGACGGTCACCGACCGTCCCCTGTTTAAATACCACAAAAACATTTGAGCTTTCCAAAAGAAACAAAGGCAACACAAATGCAGACCCTAAGTGGAAAATCTACAACAGAACATGCCCGACCCCATAGCTCCAGATTCTGACATGCGCCACTTGGGATCGGCCATGTGTTCCGTTGCTTGGACAATTTGAGGTGTTTTTGCATTTGTTTGAAGTGTGAACAACCATCGGTTTTCCACACAAGAAATGCCAAACCCCATGGCTCCAGATCCTGAGCTGTGCCCACATGGGGTCTGTCATGTTGTGTTGTTTGGAGAACTCCAGGTTGTTTAAATGGGAAAAGCGACTTTTAACATGAGCACATTTTCACATAAGAGTTCGATTAAACCGTAATGAGTGCTCAAATATACTTAAATAAGAAAACACTTGAATTAGTTAGTCCCCTTTTATCTTAAATTTATAGAACTGAAACCGAATGTTCTTCGAGTTTCTACTGGTTTTGAATTCTGTTTCAGGGGCAGGCCAGCAATAAAAAACAGGAATACGGAATACTTTCTTTTTTGATTCAACTCCGTTTCAAGCATCTAGTCAAACGCCAGTCAAAATCATATTTGGAGAGGACCTCCTATTCTCATCTGAACTGTGACCTTTTAACATGTATTTAGACTCTGATCAAATGGTCAAACTCCTTTGGAAAGGACATCCTATCTAGATTCAAATTTAAGATGGGTACCCAGCTCAATTCTAATTGGATCTTACTTAAACACATATGTGGAAAGGAAAATCTCATTTAAACTCTGATTCAAGACAAATACCGTTATTCCATTGGTTCCAAAACCCACACGCTGACCCGCTCTCAAACTTCAATCCGCAAGAAACTGGCTGGATGCTAGAAAGCAAAAAGCTACCAACGAGATAGAAGCCACAAGCCGCAAGAGCAAACGAAGCCACGCAAATCACCCAAGCTCGCAAAAGCCAGGAAAAGCCAGCAAAAGCCGGCAAAAACCGCTTCCGAAGAGCCACAGAATCCAAGACAGGATTCTAACAAAACAAATTGAAAAGGCTTGCGCTATATGTCTAGTTCTCTGTATGCTTGAGGACTTGCAGCCGAAGACACTTGGCATAGCCTTCGATTCGCTTGGCCATGTCTGGCAGGAGTTGCAGGATGCCTCACTGGCTCAAAGCCAACGGCTTCCATACAGCGATGCGTTCTCTACTTCTTTCTACCTTTCTGCCTCTATACCTCTCTCACTCTGTTTCCCTGTTCTCTCGTTCTCTCTCTCTCTCTCTCTCCAATAATTTCATCAGCGGAAATGCTGCTATCTCAGAGCGCTATTGCCTTCAAACTACGCTGAAGAAATGCCAACGAACCCTTTTGTTATGAAGTGCCCCTGCCTTTCGGCACGTCTGCGACCCACGTTGTAGAGCTTCGTCTTGGGAACTGACGCATGAAAAGGCAATCCTGCAAGCAAGCCCAACGCAGAGCAGCAGCGCCACTCCGTCGTGAAAATGCAACAACTCGTAGTAATAATGAATTAACATTTTTATAAACAACGCAACCTTGCAGATCCTTGCAGGCAGCGTCGGCAGCAGTGATGGCTGCAGCGGCACAGCCGTCACAAGCACTTACCACCGCCGACCCGCCGACCCACCGACCCGCCCACCGACCCGCCCCCCGCCCACCAACCCGCCAACCCGCCAACCAACAGCAGCAACAAACAAACACACAGGCAGGCAGACCGGCAGGCAGTCAGGCGGGCAAACACGCAAGCCAGCAAGCAAAATTAACTAAGAAACTAACTAACACGCATCAACAACCAACAACTAGCATCCAAACAACATTAAGTAAGAAAGGCCAAAGCAACAACACCACAAGAAACATTAAACAACCAACATCCAAAAAAAAAAAAACGTTCAACAGCACACAACAAACAGGAGCCAACCACCAACAACCAGCACACAACAAATAACAGCGCAACAACCCAGCATTAACGGTGGCTTGTCTCGCCAGCTAGAAATTGAGTCTGATGCGGCTCAAGCACTTATCTTTCTTCCGGGCTAGTTCCTTCTTGGCATCTAGGCGCTGCATGTAAAGAAACAATTCTACCAGGATACTGTGACCCATTCGATCTTGATTCTGGTTGGTAGCTGGCCCGTCCTTGCGTCTGCGTGACCAGTTCACCTCAAGCGACTTCCCCATGAAGTCTTTGTTGTCGAATGCACTCATGAGTTCCTCCACGCGCTCCTGAATGCTGAGCTCGTGGCTTTCGCTACTCGGTGCCAAGAGGGAAAAGGGGCGCACGTTGCTAAAAAATAAGGCAGCAACTGCAAAACAAAGGTGACAGTGTCCCCGGGCTGCGGTCATTCTGGATGGGAAAGCGCGTGGTGTGGGCAAATGCAGAAAAGTTGAGTCCTCGTTTATAATCTCTGATTCGACTCGCTCCTGAGACCCAACAATCTCCACAAAGGCGAAGCTTAATGAGTGATGCATGGAGATGCGCTTGATGGGTGGTCCTGCCAGCGATAGGTGAGGCACGCAGTTTGACATACGAGTCACCAGCTTCGCAACTTCCCCACCCCACCCGACCCGTCCATCTTCGAAGTCATAGCTGGGTAACTTCATCGCCAGTTCCACTAAGCGTTGATCCAATCTCTGCACCAGCAGCTCCTGAGGACGCCCTTCTGCCGCACAGCAATTCAAACTAGGCCTGTCCTGGTTGCTCGTATCTTCATCATCTGACCCGCACAGGTCTGCTTTTCCTGGGTCACAAGTTCTCCAAGGCAAGCCAGATGTGCAGCCACTCGACACCGAGTAAAAGCAAGGTCCGTCAGGCCCGTACTTGAAGCTGAGTTTCCAGGCAGATTGCCAACCCAAATGCTGTGAGTTGGCGGCGGCACTGCAGGTGGCGCTGGCGGATTTTCCTCAGCTTTGCAAGCCGCGGGTTGGAATTGAAGAACTTGGAAGGGGGTCAAATCAAGTTACCCAGCAGTCAAACGCTCTCTCAAGTTTCCAAGAACAGCAGCGGCGAGTGAGTCTCAAACCAGCGACCACACAATGTTTCGGCCTCTCTAGGCATGGAAATCCTCAACAACTCAACAAACTCGTCATCATCGGCAATCCTGAACACCGCAAAACACATTCGTGTCATTCTTTTCTGCGCAATATGGAGGAAGGCAGCTGCCAGTTGGCAAAACAAAAACCTGCTACGCTGCTGCATCATCAGCACCGTCAGTAACATCGTCCATGCCCTCTGCTACAGCAACATGCCATCTGCCAAACTCAATCGGGCCGACGAAACGGCCGGTTCACTAAGAAAATGTTACTTTATTATCTAAAACGCTAAATTGTACCAGTGGAAACCCTCTGAATCACAATGCCACCCGCAGAATCCAACGCGGACTGCAAGAGGCGACATCAAAGTCGCATCTTCTCAACATGCCGCTTGCAATCACAAAATGCTACTTGCAACAACATGCTGCCTACAAAACTGAACCGCGCCCGAATCACAATGCCGCCAACAAAAACTCAACAAAAACAGGGCTGAGGGGGCGCGTGTGTTACCATTGAGTTTGGCAAACGCCAGCTCGTTGAGTGGGTTTTTCTACATTTGCGCGCCCTGAAGCAAACATGAAAACTAGGTTCTATCACAGGCAATGCGTGCGCATTGTCGTTCCCCGCTTCATGGCGCGCCCAACTTCTCAAAGTGGTCGATGCGGAGTTCGATCAAGCGTGGTCAATTGCTTGAGAAGCGTGTTGCTTGAGGGTTGCGCCTTCCCTCGCCTCTCCCCGCCTTCTCCACAGGATCCGGCGCCGTGGTGAGCAGTTTTGGAGGTGGAGGCAAAGGCAATGTACTCGTCTTCGGATTCCTGAGATACAATCGCTGCCAACAGGGCGGATTGGGCAAAGCAGAGTCCGCTTGCCATTGCCATACCTCGCGGATTTCTTTGCTGTGCGGCAAATCCAATGGGGCTGCAGGCTTGTCGTGGAAGCTGCTGGGGCGTCTCAGGTGCACCTGATAAGCCGCACGCCACCCTCACTCATGTCCACTGAGGCGTGTCACGAATCCAACCGACGGAGTGCGAAGAACAACAGAGACATCGAATTGTGCAGAGTCAATGGAGCCGAGGCGCCATTCTCCGATTGACAACCATCTCTCCAAGTGCGATCGCCGTGCTTGCCAGCCTGCAATGGAATTATGTTGCTGTAGCAGGAACTATGGAAACTGACAATCCCACCCACGTCACGAAGAAAAGGCTGGCATGATGGAAAAGATACTGGTTGGCTGTGGTGGGAATGCCTAAAAGCAAGTGAGGCGGGAAGCCACCCTTGCCGAACAACTCACACGGCTTCAACGACCTGACGTGAACCCAAGTTCTGAAGAGGGCACCTCGGATCTGCCATTCGGGCAAAGGCAAATGGGCCAGTGCCCAAGCGCATGTTGACGATGGGAAGAGACCTTAGTTTGCCATTGCGATTGAGCAATGGACAAGCAAACGCGGCACGACGGGCTTCAAAGAAACTTGGCACACGCAGGACTCCTGTTTTGTGCCAGCGACAATCAGCAGCGATTCGAGTCCTTGGGGATCATGAATGTGAATGTCGTAAACTAGGCCAGGGGTGGCTGAAATATTCAAATCACAAGGATGCATGATGTGGGTAATCATTGGAGACCAGTTGTTTCTGACGCCAGCTCGAACTACTCGAAAAGACAAACACTGGTCCTTGGAGTTGCTTCTTCTGCTCAGTTGGCACGACCACTTTCAATGTCTGTTCCAATGAGGTACTGCCAGAAATGGAGGCTAGCAATACTCTGCTGACAGGGCAACCTTTGCTTCTTCCCACTTCTCCTATCTTCCACCTTCCCTGATGAAACTTGCCTTGACTCCAGAAGTCTCATGTCAATGTCGTGTATGCAAAGTTGCGTTGCTGTATTGCCGCCAATGCATGTGCACACTCCGCAGGCAAGCTTGGCCTGACACGCTGCCATGTCAAAATGACTTGCCTCCTAGAAGAGTCGCTCAAACAAACGCCCTTCACAAGGTAGAGCACTTGCCCATCACGTGTCCTTTAGGTGCACCCGTTGGAATGGACTGTAACGTTCAGGTCTCGGAATGTCGCAGGTGCTTGGCGGTAACCTATCAAGCGCTGCCTTGGTAATGTTTGGCTTGCAGAAGTCAAGCTGTTAATCCATGTTAATCCGGCAACTTTCACCGCTGACAAGCCCTGAGAAACTTTGAACATGCTATGGTATTGCGCTGAACATGGGCTACAGCAAGTGTTTGACATTGCGCCGTGCATTTACCAATTCGCGTCCTTGATCCTGCAGCTCTGCCAAAAAGCTCAGGGAGGCTCCCCTCTGACCACCAGTCTCGCAGGCGCGCAGGCCGGCTGCAGAAGCAATGCGGGAGCACCTGGCGCATAAGAATGATGGGATCAACATTATTCAATATGAGTTCAAAGGCAGTCGGCAGTTTGATGCCGTGCACCTTGCGGTGTTCAACTCTATTTCTACCTTGTGACAGTCATTCGCATTCTTCCCGGCCTCAACTCAAGCAACAAAATTGCCTGCTGCCACTGGTAGCTCTCCGCACAAGAAGTGATTGCCACTTCGAACGTAATTGGATCCGCACCAGGGCCGCCTGATAGGCTTTGTGCAAAAAGCAGCACAGCTGCCTGCCACTTCAGGCCTTTGGCACAGGCACTGATGGCCGCATTGTAAGCAATCAGGTCCACAGCACGCAATGTTTGAAGATCTGATAGGAGGAGCAGGCTGTGTGCCCATTCCCCAGACTTTTCACAAGCACTGATGGCAGCACTGTGCGAGATAGCATCCACCTGTGCGCGGATAGAACTAAAACCAGTTGTGACAAAGAACCAGGTGAAATCATTCCTACCTCGTTTTACTGACTGCCAAAAGCAGAGTCGCGCAAGGGTGAGCTGCTGCCATTTGGTTTCTTGCGGGGCATGGCTCGAAACCTGTCCAGCCTAGTGATCCTGGGGATGTTGCTAGTAATCGTTGAGGACCTCTTGGCCACTTGGTCCACTTGCTCGGGGAGCAAGTGGACCGTGCCTTCGGCCGCTTGGTCCACTTGGCCACTTGGTCCACTTGCTCGGGCAACGGCTTCGGCCACTTGGTCCACTTGGCCACTTGCTCCACTTGCTAGGGGGAGCAAGTGGGCAACGGCTTCGGCCACTTGGTCCACTTGGCCACTCAGTCCACGTGGCCACTTGCTCCACTTGCTCGTGGGGGCAAGTGGGCAACGGCTTCAGCCACTTGGTGCCCTAGAGGCCGCAGGCCCAAAAGTTAGCAAAGCCTTTGTTGTTTTTTTGCATCAGAGTTGTCCCTTTGTAGTTGACTTGCAAACTGATGAGAGTCCCAGCGCGCATCAACCTCTCTTCAACAACAAATCCGCCCACCTCCAGGGTCTTCTGTCGCATTGCTGCCAGAAGTTGCAGGGCATGCTGCCATTGAGCGCCCTTCTCACAGGCACTGATTGCTGAGCTGCAGGTGATCACATCTGCCTGCAGGAGCCTGGACTTGACATGTCTAAGACCATTGCCCTATCATGTCTGTATGTTTGAAATGTGCACAGCTTGACAACGTCTGTGCATTGCGCACGTGTGCGGGTGTCTGCATCGATATCTGTCTCTGTCAGTATCTCTGCATTGCTCCGACTCCAGTGCTGCAACTCTCCATATAGCAACTGTGCGTCCTGGAGCGGCTTATCTCAGAATGCTTGCATCTCTATCTCTGCATATGTGCCATGTTCAAAACGCCTTGGGGCCATGGTCATGTTTCCCAAATAGGAATCTTGTCAAAATCCTTTTAAGGCGTTGATGACCATCCCTACCACCCCCTAACTCCACCCTCTCGCTCAAAAGACTACGGCACATAAATGGTGTAATTATATCTGTCTTTACAGGAACCATGCAGCCAGGGAACCGCTCTTCCAGTTCGGAAAGCAACGACAACGCCAACTCCCATTGCTGTCCAGCTTCACAAGCATGGATTGCCAACGCATACGATATCTCATCTGCTTGTGCACGAGCTTCTTGAAAGAGAATCAAAGCCTCCGGCCACAAGTCGCCGGCAGCGCAGGCGCCAATGATCGAGTTGTAGGCAACCTAATTGCTCACGGTTGCACGGTTGCGCTCAAAGCCGCTTCATGCATGTCTTGTCGACCTCACGACTCTCTCATCTCTCACCTTCCATTTGTCACCTCGATGCGTTCGCTTCACCTGCGCAATTTCCGTGGCGGTGCCAGCTGAGCAGCCATGTCTCGGATTCCGCCCTCCAGGCCCTCCATGGCCAAAGCTCGTTGCCACAGCAGGTGTGTAGCACAGGCAGCAATGGCAGCACCAAGAGCTCTCTTGTTGACACCTTCGCCTGATACGGGTGGGTGCTCCGGTGCTCAAGCAGAAATAAGCAGAAGACAGAAACTTGTTGATAGGCCTGCTAAATCGGGTTCTCTGACATTCCCCATTCGAAGTGGACAAGGAGCATTGGTGGCTACGAGCTTTCGACACCGAGCTGCCCTGGCTTTCTTGCAGTAGCGCCAGGGCTTTCTGCCAGGAGCCAAGCCCAGCACAAGCAATGGCGGCACCGTAAGTCACCTGGAACGATGTGCAAGGAATCTGATCTCAGAAGCCCGCCCTCCCGCCTGGTTCCTTTTGATGGCTTTCTGCTCCATGTCCTCCAGCAGTTGCAAGGCCAGCTGCCACTTCTCTCGCAAAGCATTGATTACCTCGGGCTCGCAGGGATTTCCCCGCTTTTGTTAAGGATTGCTCCTTAACGCGGTCAAGTCAACATGGCCCAAATTGCACATGCTAGCCAAACTTTGAGCAAGTCGCTGTGTTGAACATGACTACATTTGGTCGCGAATGCTGCCTTTCAAAAACGTCCAGCAAGCTCAGTGCATGTCCCCACTGTGCCCAGGCTGCACAGGAGTTCATTGCTGCGCTGAACACATAAACCTGGGTTCGCCGCTTTCACCATGAGCAAATTCTGAACAGTGCTGACAGGGAGCATCATCGTGACCTGCTAAAGCGGCCGCTGCCAGCAAAGATAGAGCATGCTGCCACTGCTCACATGCACTGATTGCCGCATTGTATGTAAAGGCATCAGGCAGAATACGCCTCGCTTGCATGGAGTCCAACAGTTGCAGCACACATGGCCATCTCGCAGCCTTCAATGCCCTGATTGCTGCATTGAAAGACACCACATCCGCAGAGCCATTGCTATTGCACAGATCTAGTAGTGCAATGGCATGTTCCCACTGGTCGGACTTCTCACAGGCAGTGATGGCGGTGTTGAAGGATATATTGCTGGGGCTGCCAGAGTATAGTAGCCCAGCAAGCAACTCCAACGCCAGAGTCCAATGACCGGACTTGGCGCATGCGCTCATAGCGCAGTTCTGGCAAACGAGGCTCCTTAGGTTCGGACAGCCAAGCCCATTGTTGGAACAGGCCAGTTCTGATGCAACGAACAATGTGTTGACCATACTGCTTAAGCCCAAATAGTCCAAGCTACATGCCTAAACCAAACCAAGACATATGCGCACTCGTTGTTGAATTGAATCTGAGGAGCTGCTGACCGTGGCGGCTCATATCTGCTAGAAGTATGAGTGCTGCTTGCCATTGCGAGGCCTTCTCACAAGCTTTGATTGTAGCCCCAAATGTTATATCATCCTGGGAAGGCGACTGCTGAAACAACCTTGGCCAGCTATATTGTTTGCAAAACGTCGCACACATCTCATAAGCACAGCACAAAGTATGGCTCATGCAGGAGGCGCACCAAAGAGCCCACTCCCAGTGCACGCATGCGCTGATGGCGGTGTTGAAAGTGATGGCATCGCCCTGCATGTCGCTCTCAGATAGGCTGCAAAGCAGCATCAAGGCGTCTTGCCAGTGTGACGTTTTTTGACCTCTGCAAGTCAGACAATTGTGATAACTCCCAACGGTCTTCTGAAATAATCATTTATCGGGATTATGCTCTAATCCCAACACAAAAAAAAACAAAACAAAAAACGCTATGCCCAGCTGAAAACAGCTCTCAAACGTACTACTCAGTGGTACTGGCAGACTTGTGCTGTATATGACATCTTGACTTTGGGATATCTACCACGCCCAGTAAACTGGCGCTTCGAACCAGGAACAAGGCTTAACAATGGAACACCCAGGGCATGTCCTAAGCGCAGTAAAACTCAATAAGTACTATAGCGCATGTGGTGCTGCACTTGGTTCAACAAACTCCTTTCGCAAAGGCCTACGCGGGGCTTCCGCAGCTGCGAGGGTAGCTTGCGCGAGTGGTGTCGACATAGCAAACGCATACGCGGCGCGTACGCAGATTGGGGAAAATCGTGGAAGTTGGCTTTCGCGTGTTTTGCTTGCGCTAACACATTGAAACCGCGAAAGTAGAGCTTTTCAGCGTGTTTTCGCTTCGGCGGACCTTTCGCGGCTGGGCAAAAGATCAACCCCCTTCCGCAAAGCCTTGCGTCCGCGACCTCGGGAACAAGCCGCGATCTCGGGAACAAGAATATCTCTCTGAAAAGGTGTGCTGAATTGGCAGCCATGCTTGGAATAGCTGCTCTTCAGATGTTGTGCTTTTTCCGTGGGATGCCCCACATGGCTCTTTTGGATACGGATCTATTTTTGGCCTTGGGATTCGGCATCCCGGTTCGGAAGAGGCGTTCAAGTTTTGAGCTGCTGCTCGCAAGGACACATATTTGAACATGTGGGCAGTAAAATCACATTACGCAGCCGTTTGCAAAAGAGCAGAGTGCTAAACAAATGGCCGCCAACTCTGGTTGTGCGTTCATTCCCACAGTGACTTGCACGCACGAGCGAACTGCTTGTGCCATTCAGATTTTGGGATTTGATCCTCTTTAAATTCATTTGTGGGCGGTGCACAAATAGCTATGGGACAAACGGTAAAGAGAGGTGGTCACGATCGGAGGAATCGTGTGGAGGCAACATCAAACTCAACAGTCTTGTGGGCCACGCGCGGGAAATGGAAACCGGTGTAAGCGAAACTGAGGAGTGTAGGCGTGACCGCATCTGCGCAGCCTACGTGAAGACGTGTGTCTTTGCCTCACTGCAGCACAGGTGCATGCCCCCAGGGCAGCGTTGTAGGTGAGAATCTGAAGCTGCAGCTGTCGGTGCTGCATCTCCCCGATCAGCAGCACCGCCAAGCGCCAGTGCCCAGAGTTCTTGCAGCCTATGATGGCTGAGTTGAAGGTGGAGACGGTGGCAGAAGCACCATCCAGAAGAAGACCAGCCTGCTGCCATCGATGGATCATATGGCGCGCATGCCGTGGGTGCAGTTTGCCGGGCTTTGAACCATTCAAGCGCTGAATCAGCAACATGAGCCACGGCTTCAATGCATGTGCCAAGTTCACGCAATGCTGCTCCTCTGGCATTTCCAGCACCAGCTCAGAGCAAGACAAGTGTCCAAACTCGGCATTGTAGGATTGCAGGCCCTTACAACGTGTCCCACAAACTTAGGCGGATCTGTCATTTGCGTATTGGACCACCTAGGAATGCCTTGCCTGAATGCAAGTGTCTATTCGACAATGATCGATTGCTTGCGAGAAGCAGAAGTCTTTCTTTTGCTGCCAGGCAGCGCTGAGGAGTTTTGTGAGCCCAGACCACAGGTCCTGCACCTGCAAATTGTGACATCCATGCAAACTTGAGATCGGCAGCTCGCACCTCAAGCCCTTGCACGCCACCCAGAAAGACTTCACAATCCATCCTGGACACGACCGCTCTCTCAGTGCTTTTCCAAAGACACCGTTCAGGGCCTCTCGATAAGATCCTCTTCGTGAATGGCGCCCACGCTTGCCACAAATGCCTCGCAAACTGTGTATTGGTGGCAAATGTAAGACCAATGTGCTGGCAACTATCGATCGTCTCCCTGGCCTGCGGCTTGGCGCAAATGCTGCCTCGATGCCCAAAGCACTGGGCTCAAATCTCAGACATCATCGGGCCCCCAACACACCCTTGATTTTCTTGTAGTATACAGTTCATTCTCGGGGCTTGCATAACTCTGGCCAAGGTGCCGTCTTCTGCCAGTGGTGGTGGAGCACGCTCCTCTGCGTTTGTGGCCCCCACCTGCAGAAGCAGTCCGCGCACCAGCTATGGCAACGGAGCACCGTGGCTGTGTTTCGGTCACGTACTCAGGGTCCCAGCAGGCCAGCCAGTGCGGATTTTCATCCCATTCTCCAGACTGAGCCTGAGATGACTTGGATTGGTGCGAATGGTTCGGCTTTAGCCGATCCCCTTTTTGAGGCCAGCGGCTGCCCTGCTGCCACAACACTACTGGCCAGAAGCTCTGTGGAGAAATCTGTGAAGGCGAAGCGGTTGCATTCGCTGAACCTCGCAAAGGCGCATAAGTCACATAAGCAAGAGGTACAATCGATGCGCAAAATGCCAAAGAAACTCGAGGATGGTGAACTTGTGGATTTCGCCCGCGGTACGCTCCCGTGCTCCGACACTCATATGCTCCGCACTCACCAGGCCTCATGGTGAGCACAGGCCGACGAAGTTCAGGATACCGCTGCCGAACTCCTGGCAGCTGCAACGCTGCTGCACCTGGCGCCCGTTTTCGAAGCGTTCAAAAGCATGTCAAATGTACGAGCGAGGCTAACGGGCCGAGGCAGCCGCCTCTAAATTTGAAGTTGGGAATGCCGCCTACTACCCGTGACGAACAAAAGCGAAAGCCGTCGCAAGCTGGTGACTTGACATGAGGAAATCAATAATTGTCCCACCATGGACATAGTTGTCGTCTTGCCACTCTCGATCCGAGCCTAGCTGAAACGCAAAACTTTCACGATCATCGCTGATCGGCTTCTGCTCAGCATCCGCAGCTGCTTTCCGCTGCCTGCGAAGCCGCAACATGAGGGTTTGCGAAGGACTTCCCTCAGAATAGCATGTTGCTGAAAAAAGTTCGCCTTGAATTGACACTTCTTTGCACGTCAACCATGAGCTGAATGCATTCAACGCCAAGATCTGTTGGAGCTGAGCAGCATCTCATCTCGAACGATGCGCTGCGGAAAGCTGCCAATCCTTTCTGAGTGAATCCCAACCAGGGCAAACAAATGGTGCTTCAATTACAGAAGCTTCAGGGATACGGCATATTCTGGCAGAATTACGTGTCGGTCAAGCTTACGCAATGTCTGATTGGGAAGTTCTCAGCCAAGCGGCCAAACAGTCAGTAGCATCTGCGATCCAGGCCCCCCTGTATGTGGAATCTTTGCTTGCTGCCTGGCACATGATATCAGCACGTCAAGCCACAAGTTAGGGTGAGGTGCGCTTGATTGAGTGTCTACCTCCACAGTGAATCAGAAGCAATGGAACTTGCAAGATATTCTGCATGACAAATACCCTGCTATCAGTAATGTGCCACGAGTTTCAACTGTCGCAAGGATTCCAGCTCGAAGTCATTGGCTGAAAGCAAAGCAGTAGAACGTATGCTGCAAGCGCAAATGCGTTCTTAAAGTCGATGCAGGAGTCAAATTTGACGAGGGTTCGCTCCCTGCAATCCACTCCTCAACGGCTCCACATCCAGGAATTGGCCTGCGAGCTTCAACCAATACTCAAAGCTTTGACGCTGGAGTACAAACACTGCGTTCAGCTATTCGTTCGCTCAAATAATCTCTCTGCACTCGGGCGGACTCTATTGCACAGGCAAGGACGAATAAATGACAGGACTGATTGTGCTCTGATTCGTGTGCATGAGGACTATGCTGCGATCTACACACCGAACGAACCGTTGCAATAGAACTGCGCGAGTCTCTTGACCTCGTCTGCTTCATGAACAGTGAGAATGAGCAAATGCTGTCCCAATGCTGTACATTATGTGAGCACAGCCGATGTGAAGCACCCTGTGTGTTTGGAATGCTGACCAACAACGAGGTGCAACATCATTCAATACTGGACACTGAGCCAGCAGGGTTGTAGCAAGCTTAGCAAGCTTACAACCATTCACACTGCGATGAGTTCTAGGCACGCGCGCATCAAAGGGAATTTACACAGTTGTTTGAATCAGAAGAAGTGAACACGGCAAACAATTGAAACTGCAATGCAAAAATAGGCCGGCACCTAGTGCAAATCCGTCTTCTCTTCTTACCTGTAATACAAGTTCCTCCAGGCCTGCAACGTCAGTTTGGCCAAGTTCGGCTGACTCGAGCTTGAACCGGAGCAACCGAAGAAGTAGCATCGCTAAATTTCTTTACCAAGGCGCCTTCTGGTTGCATTCCAGCGCTGGCTTGGCAAATGCGGGCGCTGCGCCCTCCAATTTGGAGGCCGCTCAGCTCCAAGGCAGTTCTGGCCTCACTTCGGGCAGTCTGAAAGCTGGCCATGGCATCGGTATGCCTTTCGTCTGCTCAACCTTGCGAGTGTGCGTGGCGCAAGGGGGAGTAGTTCAGCGAGAGAACGCGATCATTCTCAAGCTGCAATCGGCTGTCAACGGCAGATTCTTGAAAACCTTTTGCAGTCATACAAAAACAAGCATATTGTGCAAAGAGGCAAACTAAGTAGTCGGCGAAACTTGGAAAGGCCATGGATTCTGCACACTGTGCCTTTTAGCAATTTTAAAACAATGTCTTTAGACGGCATTTGCCAACCCTGGCATCGGGAAGCGGCGCTCGAGAATACGCCCGGTAGCATGGGAGAGACAGCACCTTCATGAAATCACGAGCATCATGATGGTATTGGCAGCATCATGATGCTACCGCAGCGACGAACTACTATGCGCTATTAATATGAGCAGTGTCCTATAATGAAGAATTCCATCCAAGCACAAACACGACAGCTTCTGGCACACAACACGGCATAGGATCGCATATCAAGCACCGCCAACCGCCACGCTGAGCACACAAGACGAACAATTCCTTAGTTGTATGGTTGGGGACGACTGCGAAAGTTGTCCACCTCCGGCTCGAGAGAAGCAAATTATTGGGAGAAGGAAGAGGTGGACTCGGGGGGAGAAGGGAATGGTGGGGATAGGAAGAGGTTGACAATTCCGAAAGTTGTCATCTCCGACTCGGGCAGAGAAGGAATTGGTTGGGAAAGGAAGAGGTGGACTCGGGGAGAAGGAAATGGTGGGGAAACGAAGAGGTTGACAATTCCGAAAGTTGTCCATCTCCGACTCGGGGCAGAAGAAATTGGTTGGTGAAGGAAGAGGTGGACTCGGGGGGAGAAGGAAAAGGTGGGGAAAGGAAAAGGTTGACAATTCCGAAAGTTGTCCATCTCCGACTCGGGGGAAAAGGAACTGGTGGGGGAAGAAAGAGGTGGACTCGGGGGGAGAAGGAAATGGTGGGGAAAGGAAGAGGTTGACAATTCCGAACGTTGTCCATCTCCGACTCGGGGGAGAAGGAAATGGTGGGTTGGGAAAGGAAGAGGTTGACAATTCCGAAAGTTGTCCATCTCCGACTCGGGTCAGAAGAAAGAGGTGGACTCGGGGGGAGAAGGAAATGCTGGGGAAAAGGAAGAAGTTGACAATTCCGAAAGTTGTCCATCTCTGAGTCGGGGGAGAAGGAACTGGTGGGGGAGGGAAGAGGTGGACTAGGGGGGAGAAGGAAATGGTGGGGAAAGGAAGAGGCTGACAATTCCGAAAGTTGCCAATCTCCGACTCGGGGCAGAAGAAATTGGTTGGTGAAGGAAGAGGTGGACTCGGGGGGAGAAGGAAATGGTGGGGAAAGGAAGAGGTTGACAACTCCGAAAGTTGTCCATCTCCGACTCGGGGGAGAAGGAATTGGTTGGGGAAGGAAGAGGTGGACTCGGGGGGAGAAGGAAATGGTGGGGAAAGGAAGAGGTTGACAATTCCGAAAGTTGTCCATCTCCGACTCGGGGGAGAAGGAATTGGTTGGGAAAGGAAGAGGTGGACTCGGGGAGAAGGAAATGGTGGGGAAAGGAAGAGGTTGACAATTCCGAAAGTTGTCCATCTCCGACTCGGGGGAGAAGGAATTGGTTGGGCAAGGAAGAGGTGGAAGATTCTGCAATGAATGGTGGGGGAAGGAAGAGGTGCCCAGTTCCGAAAGTTGTCCACCAGTGGGGGAAACCTTGACCAGCCACTTGGTAGAGCACTGCGGTGCGCTCACTTGCAACGGCCAATTAGTGCCATCGGACCTTGTTGCGTCTTCCTTTTCTGAGCGCCGAGCAAGGATCGTGTCCACAAATTCCACGAAAGCGAATGTCGATGCAAAGCTGGGCCGCACACCTCTGCGCTCTGGGCTTGTTTGCCACATCACAAGTCTGCGGGTTCAATCCTCCCTCGTGATCCGCCTGTTGATGCAGAATGCAAGAAGGCCAACATGACTCTTTGCATGATAACTTCGGATGGCAGGCCATCGTTGAGCTGGTCAACAACGGCTTCAACGTGGCTCATCCGGTTTGCTTCCTTCTGGGAGCCCGCTTACAAAACAATTCTCTGTGACCAAACACCGCCTACAAGACTGCTGAGTCACTAACTTGGTGTCGACCTGGCTCCTTGATCTTGTGGAAAATGGACCTTTCATTGACATGGAATACGTGTGAGCACCAAGCTCTGGCATCCAATGAACAATGATGCCAAATACTGCAAGAAACTAGCTAGAGGCAGGACATTCACAATGGGGTTGGACAAGCCAGCGTAGCGAGCGCGGTACTCTGGCAACTCCTGGCAAAGCTCAAAGAGCCTTGGGGTCTGTTAACCACTGAGGTACAAATGCAAGCTCCTGAAAGGCGGAATCAAACGCTCGGATGATCACTTCCTGCGCATGTTATGTTCAGCCTGCAACTGTCGTGGTCGCTAGCCTTCAAAGCAGTCCTTCCGTGCAGCACTCCAGCACAATCCACCCACATAGACTTCGCGGAGACCTTTGGCCTCCTTTTCTCGAGCTTCCTGGCACACAAATCAACCACTGCTAACCTAAGTAGTGCAACAAAGAACATCCATGCTGATCACGAAACAGTTTTGCTTCAAACTGCCATGCAACTTATTTCAGCCGCAAAACCGCTAGGCTGTCATGTCAAAAGCTAATAATAGGGAAGTGCAGCAAGCCTTAAAGACTCATATTGTCGCTCATGAACCTCCTGACCCCCCTATCCTCAAGAACAATCTCTAATTTTCAAACGACAGGCTCGATCAAACTAGTTTCTGGAAACACAGAGCCAAAGCGGTTGTCAAGCCGCAAGACTGGGAGATGAAGCATCTTGCCACAAAGTCTTGGGATTGAAGCAAAAGCGTTAGCCATTGCGGCCAGCAACCCGCATGAGCACTGTGACACTGCGGTGACACACGCGGAGCCGTGCGCTTTGCGCCCGAGTTGGGTCCGAGTCGGGGCTCAGCGGCGGCTGCGGCTGCGGCTGCGGCTGCGGCGGGGCGCATAGCCCCGTCTCTTGGCTGCGGTAACGCGCATGAACTGCCTCGCCAATTCGGCCGGATCCTCGGCTTTTGCAAAGTCCCAATTCTTCCAGCATTTCTCGAAGCCACTGCCAGGTGCTGCCTCATCCAAAAGGACACGTTCTTTGCGCGGTTGACCGCTTCCCACGGATTTGGATGTTGCGGATTTGGGATGTTGGAGGAGCTCGGAACGCGCCTGGGCGCGCTTGGGTTGCTCTTCCTTCTCAAAGTCATCTGCAGAGAGTGCGAAAACTCCCCCAAGGTTCTTCTTCCGCTCATTCTCCTGCTTCTTCCGCTTCTCCTGCGCCTCTCTCAGCAGCTGCAGCTGTCGTTGCTCCTCCGCCATCCTCCTCGCCTCCCGCTGGGCCTCCGCAGTGTCCTGCGGGCTTTCCGACTCGCAGTGCGAAAGTGACGGCGACTGGCGGATGTCCCTGGGGCTGGACGGAATCTCGCTGACCTTTGTCCTGGAGCGAGAGCAGCTGAGTGAGCGAGATTTCCTCTTCTTTCTCCTTTCAGCCTGGATGGAGTTCGATGCTCTCGCCTCTGGCGCTGGCTTCGCCTTGTTCTTGGGCCTTCGCCGAACCACCTCCGCCGCGAGCATCGCCTCCCTCCCGACATTGGGGATGAGGTGAGGGCCCTGGATGTGAGCCGTGACACCGCCAGACCGCGCGCCCGGCAGCTTCTCTTTCTTCCCCATCACTGCATCACGCACTCTGCTGGCGCTAAATGGTGTGAAAGCAGATTCTAGTCGTTGCTCAAGAAGAATCTTTGCACTCACGATTCATGAAAGTACGTGCCTTTGCTCATGTGGAATGAAGAAAAGCTGCTGACAAGGGAAAACCACGGGGTACGCAAAGCTGCGTCGGGTAAGAGCCGCATGCATCGCTGCGTAAACTGAAACAGTGCAACACAAAACACCTCTCTTTGAAGCGGGGCCCGCAGTAGTATTCTGCACCAAGTCTTGAGACATGGCAGCGCCAATCCTAAATTCAAAGGACGTGTGCATCAAAGCAAGCAACGGCGTGCATTGCGATGATCTTCGAACATTGTACAAAGATTGGTGGTCACGTTGTTTTTCAAACAAAAAGCACGGCCAAACAAAAATATAGAGTACTAGATGCTATTAGTGTACAGTAGAATCAAGGTGAGAGTCGGTTCATAGAGTAGAATAAGCGGGCCCCTTGGGGCCGCGGGCGCGCAAATCATTGTTGCAAGGAGAACCTTTGAGTTGGCTAGTTCGGCCTAAGTTTAAAACATGTCTCAGCGATGGAGCAGGCATATCTACTCCAGTTGGCCCAGCCCAATCCAGAGACAACAGCTCAAGTCCAGTCCGACAACGGCCTGTCCAATCCAAGCCACGCCTGTCTGGCCTAGTCCAGCCCAGCCCAGATCGGCCCACTTACCAACAAGGCTAGCTGAGAGCCAGCCCAGCCCAGCCGCAAGCAAGTCTAGTCTGGCTAGCAAGCTTGGCCCGGCAACTTCAACTGGCCCAAGTCCAGCGCAGCCCAGTCAAGCACATCCCAGTGAAGCCGTGTACTTCAGTCCAGTTTTGTCCACTACCGACAGCCCAGAGCCCCGTTCAGTGTTTAGGCCATCGGCAGGGCTCAGACACGGTTGCCCGACGCGCTGCATCGTAGCACTTGTCGTCGCTGTGGTTAGTAGTAACAGAACATTAAAGACAAACGCCGGGCCAATGTAGCTTGCGCACCAGGCGGCCTTGCTTCTGAGTGCTTCCTGCGCCCTTGACATCCACTGGCCCAGCAACGCCAAAACCTTCTTGCACGAATCGCCAGCTCTGTTGCTTGCTTTCGAGCCCGAGGCGGTCAACGCGAAGTGTTTACAATAACACACTGAAACCTGCGTGTGTTATTTGGTACAGTTGTTAACATAACATGATCGCACAAGAAATACCATTCAGGTACTAGGTGTAGTAATTCACATGCTTCTGATGCGTTGTTCGGACGTGAGACAAAAAAGAACCTAGAGGCAATTTGAAACCGATGTAGATTGATTGTGGCTAGCGTAATTCTCGTCACCACACATTGTGTGTGCGGGCCTTCATTGCCAAACAAAGTGACACAATGGCGGGCCAACAGGCCTGACTTGTGGCCGACCCCATGTCAAACTCGCCCACATCATTCTGGCAAGCCTCACTGCCCGCCGTGCCTCTGGTTGTGAAAGTCGACGCCGCTTACGCTGCCCCCTGCACCAAGAAGTCATGACATCAATGCGCCATGATGAAGCAAGAATAATCTCCCATGTTTTTGATGTCCTTTCTCGATTCAGGTCCAAGCATTGCGCGCAATGGCCTTGCCAGTGGCGACCCCGATTTCTCCGTCCTTCCCAAGCAAAGCTCAACCAGTCCAAGGCACGCAGCTCAACGCTGCTCGCTCCATGAAACGAGGTGAAACTACGTGAAACTATTTGTCTCAAAAGCACCAGCTCGTTCCTTGCTGCCAGCCCGCCGCCCCTCTGTCGTCGCAAACCAGACCTGTCAAAAGCCACAGCTACATGCTTCTACATCTGTCAGTTGCGCACTCTGCAACCAACCGGTATTCCGGGCACCTTCCATCGATATCTACACCTTCCGCCTTCCATGCTTCCAATGTCTTCCAGTCGCCTGCGATGCCGGCTCCGGTGCTCGCGGTGGCAATGCCGCCGACGCCGCCGGCCCCGCCGGCTGCGGCTGCGGCCGCTGAGGCCGCTGCGGCCGCTGCGGCGCCGACGCCGCTTGCGCTCACCTGAAGATTTTCGGCGCCTTTCTCCAACAACCCGACATGGATACGCCACCTTCCCAGCCAGCCCGCTTGCCTCTGGCATGAGAAGACACAGTGTGCTCGGTGACCTGCTTGGCTTCCCCGTGCTTCCACATGCATCAAATCCGACTATGCGTTTGGATGCAAACCGTTGCCTCAGTCTCCGATGCGGGCTTGGCGTCCTGAAGTGAATTGGTGTGAGTCACTCCAATTGCTACACGCACCCTCCGTTAGGAATCAAAGATTTGCCATTGGTCTGCAAGCCTGCCTCGCTCTCCTCGGCATCAGCCTCGCTCTTGGCGACAACCTCGCTCTTTGCAGCCTCAGCCTCACTGTCTTCGGCATCTGCCTGTTGCGAGTCGGGCAACTCAAAGGTGCTGCGTGCTCTACCCAGAACCATGTAAGAAAAAATAGAAGGCGGCTGCATCTATTTGTGGTTGGGATTATCCCTTACAAACCTCATCTACCCGGGTTTTGATTGTGGCTCACTTGTCAATTGACACTTGAGAACAAGCACGCACGTCAAACACGCCTATCATGGGATCGAAAATGACTTTTGTTAGCTTTTGAGATTCATGGACTTCAGCTACACGCACCCTCCGTTGGGAATCAAAGATTTGCCATTGGTCTGCAAGCCTGCCTCGCTCTCCTCGGCATCAGCCTCGCTCTTTGCGACATCAACCTCGCTGTTTGCAGCCTCAGCCTCACTGTCTTTGGCATCTGCCTGTTGCGCGTCGGGCAACTCAAAGGTAAGCGGTAAGCATGCTGCAGTGCTACAACGCTGCCCCGAGACTTGTCAGTTCACACATGACCTGTCAATTCACACATGAGGCTGCCTCGTTATGGTCCAGCTTGCCCTCCGGTGTCTCCTTTGGGCTTGCCTGTGCAAGCGCGGGGTCTCAGCTCAGATAGGCTCCGGGGTGGTCCGGGCGGCCCTGAGGTAAGGTTCCACGAGAGTTCCACCGGGTTCCACGAGCGTTCACTAGGTTCTGCGAGGGCTGCTGGGTGGTCCGGGCGGCCAAGAATTCTGCGAGGGTTCCACGAGGTTCTGCGAAGGCTATGGGCTTGCTCTGCGAGGAGGGCTATGTGGTGTGCGTTGCACTTTTTTTTGCTGAGCATTGACTGGTACAGTTGCCGAGGACTGTCGCCATGTTTGGAGCCTTACCCCTTAATTGGTGTGCAGCGACGGGGTGGTCGGGGGTGGGGGGGGGGCTCTTTTGAGCCAAACACCAAAAGTGTGTCCGTTTCCCTCGAAGCCATGAAACCAAGGAGTTGCTAGAGGAAACCACACCGCAAAAGGGCCCGACAGCTGCACCAAGCTGGCATCGCCCAGCTTAAACCGTAGGTGAGCTGCGGGTGGCTTGGACTGGTGCCTGGACCCGCCCGCTCGGAAGACACAGCACGACCAGCGCCCGACGCCGTCGGCGCAATCGGGCGCAAACCGGGGCCCGGGGTGCTCCGAACGATCCATCCAACCAACAAATCGTAGCATGCCGCTGGTTTTGCTTAGGATGCCCGCCTTCACTGTAAAGCAGCCTCTTCGATTCCACAACAGTGCTAACGTGTTTTGGGTGATGGACTTGCAATGCTGAAAGCGTCAGCCACGTTATTAGAACTTTGAGGCTGACTCAAAGAGAAGACAATAGGAAAACCAAGCAACTCAGGCCCCTATGTTTTGCCATATATGCCCAAATGTCCCCTTCGCTACTATTTGTTGGTGAGGCTTGGGCTGTTTTCCCCAACAGCTGAAAGCGATGGGGTCTCTGCCCAAATAGGCTCAGGGGTGGTCTCGGGCGGCTCTGAGCCAAGGTTCCGCAGGATTCCGCGAAAGTTCCGCGACAATTCTGCGAGGTTTCCGGGGTGGCGGCTCCAAGGAGGGTTCCACGAGGGTTCCGCGAGGGTGTGGTGCTGTTGGGGATATCGCCTGAGCTTGTTGAGCAGAATGAATAGGCCAAGATCAAACACTATCATGGGCTCGAAAATGACTTTCGTTAGCTTTTGAGATTCATTGACTTCAGCTACACGCACCCTCCGTCTAGAATCAAAGATTTGCCATTGGTCTGCAAGCCTGCCTCACTCTCCTCGGCATCAGCCTCGCCCTTTGCGACATCAGCCTCGCTCTTTGCGACATCAGCCTCGCTGTTTGCAGCCTCAGCCTCACTTTCTTCGGCATCTGCCTGTTGCGGTTCAGCCGTATGCGCGGGGTTCTGGGGTCGTGCAACTCAAAGGTAAGCGGTAAGCATGCTGCAGTGCTACAACGCTGCCCCGAGACTTGTCAATTCACACATGACTTGTCAATTCACACATGAGGCTGCCTCCTTATGGTGCAGCTTGCCCTCTGGTGTCTCCTTTGGGCTTGCCTGTGCAAGCGCAGCACTGCAGCGGATGCGGAGTCTTGTTGGATATTGGGGGCTCCAAGATCAAACACGGGAACGAGCGCTGGGAATAAGCGATAGCCTTTGCAAACAAAGGCTGGTCTTCATTACCAGCATAGAAGCATCCAACCGTGCTTACTGGGGAGAGGTGCAATGGCGCCCTTTAAATGATTACAAGCAAATGCACCTGTCGCGGTTCAACTGCAATGGTCTATTTCTGAGCAGAATGAATAGGCCCTCATGAAACGCGCCTCCCACTGGCTCGAAGATGACGTTCGTTAGCTTTTGGGACTCATGGACTTCAGCTACACGCACCCTCCGTCTAGAATCAAAGATTTGCTATTGGTCTGCAAGCCTGCCTCACTCTCCTCGGCATCAGCCTCGCTCTTGGCGACATCAACCTCGCTGCGTGCAGCATCGGCCTTGCTCCCTTCTAGAGTCATGCTGTCTCAAGACTTGTCAATTCACCAAGCCATCAAACATGAATCTGCCACCTTGTGCTCCAGCTCGCCCTCAGGTGTCTCGTTTGGGCTTGCCTGTTCAAGCGCAGCAGTGCTCGCTGGAGAGCTCACCAGCTGTAATGCCTCCCCCTACATTTCCTTGCAAAATCATTTTGCTTCGGTAGGGGGTCCACTATTCAGCATGGGAGCAAGCGCTGGGAACAAGCGCTAGCCTGTGCAAACACCGTACGGTCTTCATTAAAACCACAGAAGAATTCAACCCACGCTTACTGGGGGAAATGGCTGCCGAAGAGCTGCACAAACTGCCACATTGCAGCTTTGATGAGTCCGGTGCGTCGAACATGTGCAAGGTTCGTGGGAAAGTCCAGGCGTTCTACGGCGCTAGCCTCGTGCGCATTGCTCGCAGCGACCGGAGAATGAGGCTCCTTCGAGGCTTCAATTTCAGGAAGCATATGGACGACCTTGCAATGAACCAGTGCGATGCCGGACTTTTGAACTAGCTACCACAAACTTGTACAGACTGGCTGAGCTTCCGCGGTGGAGATGTCGGAGTTCCTACCCCAGCTGCGCCAGCGTCCTTCACTTGATCTCCCCCTAACCGGGACAGTCCTGCTTCGTTGACGCATCGGGTGCTTGTCCTGCAGAGTTTGCTGGTGGATCCTGCACGGCACATTCTTCGTTCGCAAACTCCCAAGTGACAGCAATACACAAGTACAAACTTTAGCATGACCCTTCGGGGCTCGTTGCATCCAATTCCGGTGGTTCTAAAGGGAAACCACAAGGCACGCCAATTTCGCCCCGTATTTTGACATGCCGTGTCTGAAAGCAGGTGAACTTCCCAACGAACACACAGCTACCAGGCAGGCCACCACACGTGATTGTAGAAAACGGCAGCAAGTGGCTAGCAGAGGTGCTATCCGCAATATTCGCTGTATCAGTCCGGGAGATCAAACATGGCAAGTCTGTGCCGATTGCCTGGCAGCCGCGCCTCTATCTCTCCGTCCGAGTCTAGGTCCAGCCAGCAATCCATGGGTGGAGAGTTGGTGCGTTGGGTGAATTCAAATCACACGCGCAATGCGCATACATGAGACTTGAAGGTAGCACTACTCCTTGAACACACACACAGTGAGAGCAATGTCGCTGATTGTTCAAGCTGCGCAAGCCAGGGCATGACCTTCCAGCCAGATTGCCGGCGCGGGCATCACACAAAGTGTAGCAACTGCACAGTGCGCAATCACAGCGTGTCACGGCAAGAACCAATCGCAACACACCATCTAGCAGCTCTAGCAATCCATGCTCTCCATTTGCTCCCGGCACATCCACAACCAGCCATCATATAGTGAATTAAATAAACACACAGCCAATGGCCAATGGCACGTTTGCTCACAAATTGACTGTCTGCTCACTTGGGCACATGCCTTTGGTGGACAATGTTCTCATCTATTCCGATTTTTGCGTCTGGTCAACATATGTCAAGCCACGCGCTGGGTTGCTCCCCATTGCACTAACAGCGATCACAAATAGCACCACACAAACAAAAAGACACTTTGGTGGTTTCTGTTTGCTTAACTTCGGTGCCCGCCCAGCCCTAAAACCTGATTACTCCCTTTTCGTCTTGGGCGGGGTGAGCCTGATTCAACAAGCAGGTTGGCGCTGATTTATCATCATATGATTGTTGCATACATAGACAGTACACATAACTTCCGCGCGCGCACGCGTGCGTTCACGCATGCTTACATACATACGCGCGAACGCACGCATACAAACACGCACAAAGATATAGACACAGACACAGACCCAGACACAGACACCGACACAAACACAAACACAAACACAAGCACAAACACAAACCCACACACACACAAACAAACACACAGACACGCAAACACACGCACGCACGCACGCACGCACACGCGCGCGCACGCACGCACGCACGCACGCACGCACGCACGCACGCACGCACGCACGCACGCACGCACGCACGCACCCACGCACACACGCACACACCCACCCACACACACACACACTTAGCATGAGACAGTTCAATCGCATGGCATCCTGATACGAAAACCAACGGAGTTTCATCAAGACTCGGCATGTGATTTTTCCCTCATCTGGAGCTACGCGTCAGAGCCAGTGACTACTCCAGCGTCGGCACTCCATCACAGAGGCTCCGCTTGGCAGTGGCTTGGAAAGGAGGGGTGTGGGTGTGGGGTGTGTGGTGTGGGGTGTGTGGGTGTGGGGTGTGTGGGTGTGGGGGGTGTGGGGGTGGGGTGTGTGGGTGTGGGGTGTGGGTTTGGGGTGGGTGGGGGTGGGAATGTGTGGATGGGTGGGGGTGGGTATGTGTGGGTGGGTGGGGGTGGGTATGTGTGGGTGGGTATGTGTGGGTGGGTATGTGTGGGTGTGTATGTGTGGGTGGGTGGGTGGGTGGGTGGGTGGGTGGGTGGGTGGGTATGTGTGGGTGGGTGGGTGGGTGGTGTGGGTGGGTGGGTGGGTGGTGGGTGGGTGGGTGGGTGGGTGGGTGGGTGGGTATGTGTGGGTGGGTGGGTGTGTATGTGTGGGTGGGTGGGTGGGTGGGTGGGTGGGTATGTGTGTGTGTGGGTGGGTGGGTGGGTGGGTGGGCATGTGTGGGTGGGTGAACCAACTAAACATCAAACGCATGGAGTAACGGAGTCATGAGAACAACTTGCTGAACTGGGGACTCTGCCTCCACTTGAGTCGTTCTTACTCGTGAAGAGCAAAGCAAGCGAAGCCAAATGAACAGTCCAAGCCGAGGTCACGGTACACCAGCTAACTTCAGCCAAGCGAATGAAGCTGAAGGCAAGCGCTTCAGAACGCATCAGCTTTTTGGCCCACGGAGCAAACCAGGCTTGCAGCTCCTGTGCCACTCTGACCTTCGTAAGGCATGGCCAAATGGCAGCCGTTGGTAGGTGCTGCTTGACTTCTTTTAAAGAGCAGCACCCTGCTTGAATTCAAGCTGGACTCAGCTGGTCAAAATCGATTCTTCCGCGCAGCTGGTTCAAACTAAAATGCATGGCCGCCCTTGCAGGCACATCGCCGCAGAATTCATAGCCTGGCTAGGTAGAATTCTATCGAGGGTGGTCAAGGCATTGAAAAAACAACCCGATTGAGTCAAAGAAAGCACCTGGACCGACAGTCAGTGTGTCGGTTCCCCATTATCTCGTCCTCACTGAGATTGCTTGTAGCACCATCAGGCTGTGACAAGCCAAAGTTGGGAAACATAACACATCATGCAAACATCAATGACTGCACACATGGTTCTTTGCGGTGCCTTGTGGAAGCTTCAGCCAACTACAATTGTCCGAGGCTGGGTCAACCTTGGCGAAAGGCACAACGACACAAGGGCCACTTCGATGCTTGATCCGCATGACTCCCAAACAAAGGCATCGGCCCATCATTCGCAACGTCCTTCAACTTTGCCTTCAGCTACATCACACGCAAAGCTTTGATTCAACCCATTGACAACTGCAGCGGCGTGTGTCAAACGTATCCAAAGAACCGGCATTGCAGCCTGGGATGGGTCCAGCAGCGACTTGGCAATTGTGGTCTCTCCTCAAGTGCTTTGACCACAATTTGACAATACAACTGATCATGCCAAGCTCATGCATTCCAAGCTTCGTGGATGCGAACCGTAGACCATCGAATCTTTGTACCAACCTCACAGGAGCAGCACTCACTGTCTACAGCATCTTCCAACTCCCATAACACTCGCAGTATCGTGCAGCCAATGCTAGCTACAGTGTTTATTTTGGTTGTGTGCCTGACTTGCGGTGGTTTCGGGATGGCTTGAAATTGGTGTCTGGTGCAGAGCTGGACCAGGCCGGTATTCGGGCAGTGTTTCGGAGTGGGTTCGTGTGTTTCTGTTTCCAGACAATTTGGCCCGATTTGGGGTTTGGGCTGGTTGAGGCACCCTTGAGAGATTGGAGGCACGAAGCTTTCGGATTGCAGTGGAAAGGTCCGAGAAGTCGAAAGCATCACATGGCCTCAAACGAAGAATCCCAGACCAAGCCAGGAATCCTAGGCCGGGCCAAACCCCGACGCAATCCATCTCTAGCTGGAAATCCAACTGAGCAGTGTTCCAATGTAGCCCAACTCAGGTTATTGCGAGCCCAGATCTTGAGCCCAAAATGGCAGGCCCTGAAAGTCTTTGGACCAGCATTCCGAAGGAAGACTTCCATTTACCGAGATGGCCTCTACCACCTGCACGATCAACTAGCGCTAGCGGATTTGGCTATTCAGACATACTTTACTGTTCACATCTATTCAGCTGAAACATTCGCTTTTACGGGATTAGATGGCAGCACAGGAAAGCGGGCATGAGGGGTGCTTCAGCATCTCACAGGGGAAGGCGCCTGGAGTTGCTCGGTGCCGAGCCCGGTCGCACCCCCTGTCAGGTATTAGCTCCTTCACGCACGAAACAAGTTGATCTCATGAACCTGCACGGTGAAACCTTTCACCACAAATCACGTACTTGGACCTTTTTGATTTGTTCCCTCCAGCTTAGGGTTGATTCAGGCTACGTTTTTGCAAGTTGTTTTGGGGTCGAGTTGGGAGGGGGGCTTAGGGTTGGCTTCAGGGTTGGCTTTAGGAGTTCGTCCAGGCGTTGGTGCACCCCCCGGCGTCACAGGTCAGTCCGGAGAGTCTGTCTGCATTTTGCTGCTGTTGCTGATTCAGCTCAGCATGCAGACTAGAGACCTTGAGTTCTCCAAAGCTCCGAGCATCCTGAGCACCCTGATCCATCCTGCACTTTTGCTGCCGTGGGGCAAGTACCCTCCGCGTTGGAGTGTCCCCACTTGCGGCCTTTCAGCAGCGCCTCGGCATCCCGGACCTCAGCTCGGGCCTGGTAGCCTTGAGATCGAAAGCGACAAAAGTAAGTTGACTCAAGTAACTTGGCCATTGACCTTCAGGCCTTAAGGCAGTAAGGAGAGGCTGTTGAACAGCCCTGTCTGTAGCCAAGGGTCCACTTGGAAGTAGAACATACCTCAGGCCGTGTCCGGGCAAGACAGCCTCTGCACAATTCATTGTGAGCAGCATGCGTCAAAGGAGTCTTGGGTGGGTTGGCGCCTGTCTCATTTTCGCCTCCAGAGGATAACTTTGTATCGTGTGTATTTGTCGTTGGCTCTGTCCGGATGGACAAGAGTATGCACATGTGCATATCTCTGAGTCTAAGACTGTTCACTTTGCACCCTGAGGCCCTTACCAAGGCCAACAGCGCAGGTTGCCACAGCGGCGACGGCCAGGGCAAGTAGAGTCAGGCTGTGGATGCCAAGGCTCCTCAAACAAGACTCGGCTCAAGAGCTTCTCACATGTGTTGCGTGTTCATGTGGTTTGCTCAAGTTAGAGATGAATGGCTGAGGGAGTCGAGTAAGCCCCTTGGTCGATGACATCGCGCGTTGCAGCTGGCAAAATGCACACATTGATGACTCATGCGTTTGGCTAGAGGGCGAACAGAAAGCACGCCTAACCTATGCTACAAGTCGAGGGTAGGGATATTGGTTTACGGCAAAGCCTACGGTGTGCCTTTAAATGTGCATCGATCCTTCCGCTCTGACTCGGTATCCAAGTTCCCCGAAACCGGATCTGCGAGAACAGCCTTGGCTTGGCACGGCACTCTCCTGAAATTCCACGCGGCTGCTCCCTGACAAGGCACACGACTTCACGTGCACACCTCAAATCATGTTGCAATCATTTTGCCAACAAGTACTTCGAAGTACAATGGCACTCACAGTTTCGACATGTACTCCAGCTCCACGTCACTGTTTCAACATGATCGCTCAACACTCCACGACTTGAATTGCTGGCACGCTGATCTCGTGCCAAGCCTCTGCCGCCCAGGTCTCTGGAACCCTGAGCATGGAATTGATGTCCCTCGTGCTCAAAACTGACAAAGTGCACCGTGGTCGTAGCTCGGGCTCCACGCCTCTGTTGTTTTACCGCACTCACTGAGGCCAGCGTGGCCACAAGGAGGGCTGCTTCCCAAAACTTCATTGCCTGTCACGCTTGAGACTTGCACATTCGACGCCTTTCACAGATTGCATCATCTGACTCGGCACCAATCAAGTATTCGGATTCAAATACACCTGTACGTCCAAAAAAATATGATCAAAGCTCCGAGACACACTCTCTGATGTGGAGTTCGACTTCTCGCGTCCCTACCTACCCTGCCCGGTCCCTTCCCGGGGCACCATCGGAGGGGTCAGCCAAAGACCCGCGGGGCTGAGCCAGACATTGACGGCCCACTCAGGATCTTTCAATTTCAGTCGCTCTGTATTGACGCCAAAACAAAACATGCAGCTCGTGTTCGCCTTGACCACGTTGGCAGATACAAATGCGCGGTGTCAGGATGCCCCACCATTTACGCAGCCTTTTCTCTGCCTCTCCTCGCCGGGGAAGAATGAGACGTCGACGCGTCGCCGCGCAAAGAGCTGTACAGCACTGTATGTCCGGTGACTCGGAAATTCTGGCAAACATACCACCGTTGTTCCCTAGCAAGCGGGGCATGTCCACAAACATATTGTTGATTGGCCTTGTGAGTTCAATGTCTCAAATTGCTCGTTGATACTCGCCAAGCCAGCTTCATACAGAAACCGACAAGCACTGGCACTGCACAAGTGCTGGCACTGCAGCACAGGGCAGGCAAATTCAGGACACCATGAGCCCGTGCACCTGCAAAGCATAGCTGATTAACCTTCCGGAGGAAGCAAGAAATGCAGCTCCATCCATCTGGAGCGCACATGCATCCAGTGACGTCATCCCTTAAAGGAGCACATCACAGTAGAGTCAACGGTGAGCAAACTTCGCCACCAATTCAAGAGCTCCGAAGCATGCAGCTGGCCTGCACATAGGTTCGGCAAATCGGGAGACCATTGGAGCGTAAAAATAGAAAGTTTCAAAGACAGCAGAAGTTTCGCCAGACATCGCGTGAACGGTTGGCAGTTTGCCACCAACCTCCAGAGTGTGACCAAAGTTGTGGTGTCCCTTGCGGTGCCGAGTCCAATTTACAAACAAACCTCTCAGAGGTTTGTAGCGGAAGCGCATGTCCGGTTTGTCTGAAGAAACAATTGCCCATGGCATCCCATGGCCGCTATCGAAGTTCGATGCGCTTTGTTTCTGTACACATGGCATGGATGCTTCATTCATGCCACACGGCTTCCCGAACCTGAGGGTGGCCATCCGAAAAAACCAAGGAAACCAATGGTCTTCACAGAACTACTCACCTTTGAACGGCATAGGTTAAATGTACACCATTGCGTGTGTTTGACACGAGTCTTTCTTTCAAAGCTCCTCCAAGCAAAGGGTGCAGGAGCAAAGCTAAGCTCCTGACGATTCCGAAACAAGCTTTTCGGTGTCTCTCCTGATGTCAGGAAGGGCTCTTCCATGGTTTTACTGAGATATGTGGTGTGCCCATGCAATTGGCTGCGTTTTGCCCCAAGACCAGGTGCCAAGCCTTCCATAGGTGACTGCGCCCTTGAGGAGGGTCTGAAGCAAATGATGGATGGTGTCACTCCGAAAACCAAGCTCGATCAAGAGGCACTGTCCAGGCAGATTCTAAAGAGAGATGGAAGGCTGTGGCAGTATCTTGATTGATTGAAAATGCCTATCTTACGCGAGACTTGCAGTGCGCGCCTGGACCCCACGCGGCCCAGCCGCCGAGGCGCAGCAGCGGCTTCTCGGGCAGCGGAGGCCGATCGGCTCCGGCTGCGCACGGGTGCTGCAGGGGCCTCGACACCCATTAAGTGGACTGCGGCGCAGCCGAATCGACTTCGGCTGAGCATCCGGCGGAGGGACTGCGCTGTATGACATTTGAAGAGCTTGGGGCACGTTCCAAGCGCGCCTGGATGTGCAATGCGCTTTGACGTGGACATTGTGGGGAATGGATCAGTGGCTACAAGTAGTTTCCCGCTTGCACGCTGGCTTTATGGCCATGGGTTCACTTATAAATATGCTGTGTGACTCTCAAAATAGGTTCGCCTTTGCTGGTGCACATGATCTTCCTATTTTCAGTGTTACAATGAAACCACTGAGAGTCTTTCAAATGGGTTGAAGTTGATGTCGCTTCTTCACTCATCACCCCGATCTTGATTCAATCGCACAGAAATCCTGGATGCTTACTTCCAATCTACGTCTGCTGGCCTTGTCACTGCGGCGAATGTCTGGGAACATGCCACCTTTCAGGCAGGCAAACCATGACAGCACCCTGAGTCTGGACATTGCTCATCAAGTGCCTTCAGCTTTGGCTTTCTCCTGAGACTGAACCCTTGCGATGGCTGGTTGGCTGCCACCTGAGCTACAGGCAAGAAGTCCCGAAACGCTGCAGGCACTGAGTACCAGGCTCCGCGGATAGGCAGAGGACCTGACCACCCCCCCCTCCCCCGCACTTCGTACAGTGCAGTAGGGAAGTCCCACCTTGGCTTTGGCTCAACTTTCCGAGGTCGGATCTTCTGAGCCTGCTCCTAGGACGATACGCACGAGCAGAAGCTCCCCACAGCTGAGCAAGCTTCTCAAGAAGGCCTCCGCAGTCATCCACGTGTTAGGCTTGAGATCCTTGGCGCATCAGTATCGAGCAAGAATGAGAACACTAAACATGATGGTGACAGACTGTGACTGATAGATTATGTTGTTCCTTAACAACGGGCGTGAGCCCTTGGCATGGACTGAGGAATCAGGTGCCCTGGCAATGATGATTCGACCTGATGCATCATCTTTGAGAACCGTTGCGGGCAGCCAGTCCTCAGCAAAGGTGAACATCAGACTTTGTTGTGTTGCATGGCACTGACAGGCTAGCATTGTGAGTGCTGGAGTGGTACTCCACCAGGTCACCGAGCTTGAACACCTTCAAATAAGCAGCCATCCTTTGGAAAACTGAGATGCAATGAGCAAAGTTCAACACGCCGTGCCTTCGCCAGGGGTTCAGCCTGGAAGGCGAGGCATCCATGTACATATGGCTTTGTCACTCGGCCCGCCTTTGCATCTGGAGTACTGGCCTGCGGCTTATCATGCGAACCTCCCAAGGCAAGTGTGAAAGAGCCTCCTCCAGCATTTGCTTGACAACAGTTTGGATCTCTGGCCTGGTCAGGTCGGTGGCTACGCCGTGATACGTGGCAAGTGTTTCAACGCAACTAGTGGTCTGGAAAGCTTTTTGGGCGCAAGGTGGTGAGTAGTAGTACCAGGTGTCAGTGGGTGTGGTGCTGCATGCAGCGACAAACATGGCATTGATGAATGACCTGGTCTGGTCCGTTTCAGGCTGAGCTGCAGGCTGCTTCAGGATGTCATCTGCTGATGGGCGCTGGCCTTGCATCAGTCGTACGTGTGCCACTATGCTGGACTCCTCCATTGAGCCTCTATGGCTCCATCCCCTGCTCATGCTAGCAAATCACACAACTGATGTCCCGGCCAGGCATCCTATCCAGCATCTCACTGCAAAGCCTGGCTAGACACAAACTCGGTGGCCACTGTGTACAAAATGTCTGTTTACAACCGGCGTGCCGTCGCAAGAACTCAGAGTAGCTGCCGGGAAGAACAGGCCTTGGCGCGTGCGTCATCAGCTTTTGCGGAGGACTGATTGAAATGAAAGGCTCGGGCACTGTGCCAGTGAGGATCTTTTGCACAAGGCGATGAATGTTTGGGCCCTCAAAAGGCACCTCAACTTTGCACTTGCACCGGTTGGTCTCATCACAGGCCAATCAGCGACGCCGGACGTGTAACGCATGCCCACCTTCAAGGCGCAGAGCTCATAAAGGATGCAGCCCATGGCCCAAATGTCAGAAGGCCAGGCCTCGCCATTGACAGCCCAAAACGCAAAGCATTGACTCAATTGACACTTTGGCCGTCTGATAGAACATCCTAACGTATCTGCACGCATGTCTGAGCAGAGCAATGGGGCATCTACAAAGCATGAGACCGTCGTTCTCTGCAACATGTATAACAGTGTAAGTATCGATCGAGCATTCACTTCCTTGAGGTAGTACGTACAATAAGTTTAAACGTACCATCTGTGATTGAAGCATCAATGAAGAGCAAGTACCAATGCGAGTAAAGTCAAAGTTGGCATGTGTCAAGGCAACCTAAAAAAGACCAATCCAACAGGTTGATGTCAGAATACGATTCTCAACATGCAACCGGTCACATCAATGAACCAAAGCAAAGGACCGATGTTTTTTTAGTTGCTTTGCTGCCCTAATGTCCAGTGTCATCATGAGTTGTTGGTGCAGGGGCGCACCACAAGAATGAGAAGCTTTGGAGCTTCACAGCACTCTGTGCAAATCGGTCAGGCTCGGACATAGGGCTCCTCCTCGCAAACCTGGTGTACAGACCCCTCAAAAACAGCTGCGTGAGTGAAGGCGCTCTGCCATGACCCCCCACCCCTTTGCTTCCCAAGCCCACCTCAGGGCTCAAGTAGTACGGCGTGCCAATCTGGGTTCGTGCCTCGGGGCAGTGCACTGCGCAGGAAGGCAGCCAGCCTCTCTGAGATTTGCGCACAGGCCAGGGTGCAGGACAGCACCTTGGCGATGCCGAAGTCGCCCATCTTCAGGCAGCCTCGTGCACCGACGAAAGGTGACAATCACAACAGAAATGGGAAGCTATGGAAGCTTGAGGTTATGGCCAGCTTTTGAAATAAAGAAGTTGCCAGGCTTCAAGTCGCGGTGCAGCACGTGCCTGCGAGCACAGGGCAGTCGCATTCATCGCACTAAATCAGAGCGCCTTTCGTGGATGTATTTGAGAGCCAGCACTGCTTGGGTAAACCAGCGAAGCACCTAAAGCAATGAAGCTGACTCCTTTCAGTGTCAGCAGTACAGCAGCAAAGCGGTAAAGCGGTAAAGCGGTAACGTGGTAAAGCGGTAAAGCGGTAAAGCGGTAAAGCGTAACCATCAGGGCCACAAGGGTAAACACGCTTCACTGGAGGTCTATTAGGCCTGCTTCCCTCAAGACACTGCAGCTAGCCATGTGGTACGCACTCACGCACACACAGACACACACAAACACACACACACACACAGACAAATATACACAGAGAGAGAGAGAGAGACAAACGCGCAGTGTCATCTCTTCGTCACATGATCGCGGGCATTGCTTGTCCATCTGGGGTGACAGCCTGTTCCTCTGGGATGTTCTGACGTTTCCTGGCACTGGTTTTGGCAAGAAAAATGTACAGCATAGTGCGGACAAGAAGGAGGTCCTCCTGGCATTGTCAATCTGCTTTGTAAGGTCGCCGCCTGAAACCCGGCGGCTGACGCATTCGGCCGATAACAAACAGACTTGCATACATGAGGCATTTGTAAGTAGGCTTCCAAGGCTACTGGACACATGTTCGTCTAGCCGAAGGATGTGACATATCCAAACAGACCGGCCTTCACAGTAGTCCATGAGGAGACAGAACCTCGTCAAGCAAGTGGTGTGATGCTGGATGGCATCCGGGACTCAAGAAGCATGAGCGCACCAACCAGACTCCGTAAAGCTCTCCCGGTAGCGCACAACGTACCTTAGCGATGATTGGACACTTCCTTATTTCTCGTGAACAGATCACATGGTGACCACATTGCACTACGTTCCACTTGGTGCCAGGCGGATGTTTCAAGGATGCCAACAACTGCCCTTCCTGTAAAGCTTCTCGCTGCTCCTGTAGTTTCAGAGATCACCACCTTCAAGTTCCTTGGCCAGTCCTTGGGCGTTGCCCTGCTGACATCCACCATTTTGCACCTCGTTGAATTCACAGCTTCAACGTCTGCCACTGCGAATTCATGAGGCCGTCACACCATCTGGGACCCATCCTTGCCTGCAACCTCAGCCAGCCAATGCTGCAAATGGTTTACTTGAGACGAAGGGCTGCAAACGCTACTTACTCTGCAAGTCGCCGCAGTCTTTGCTGTCTCGTGCGACATCAAGTTTACTCTTGCAACGATTGGACAACTCTTTGGCTCCTTAGCTCCTCGCAAGCAGTGCTTTGCCAAAGGCTCCCTCGCCTGGCAACGACACTGCTGCTCTGACACCACTGAAAACCAACTCACTGCACCTAGCTGGCAATGCACACCACAAAAGCTCGGAACCGGCCCTCGTGGCTTGTGTGCAGACTTGCTCACTCACAAGTCTACAACCAGAGATGTGCCATCAAAAGAGCGCCTATCTTGTTGCGCTCTTCGTATCCTCTCTTCTTCAAGATGCTGGCGACCTGAACAAGACTCAACACTCCTGGCTTACGAATGCAGAACAGTATAGTACAGGACATGCTGATCGAGGAAAAGCTGGTCTTGTTGGCAGCTTGACAGCCACAACCTTGAAGCAAGCAAGGGCGCGGCATCGTAGTGCGATGCTGTCATGGTGGCCTGCTGGCTGAGTGTGAGTAGACCAGCATTGCTTCAAAAGTCAAAGTAGACATTAATCGTGTTTTGAAACATTGCACGGGATTCGTATTAGGAAAATTAGAAGTGGGCAAAGCAGCAAAACAAGCAAAATGGCTAGCGCGGGGGTTCCCTCACGTGAAAAACTCAATGCTTGCAACAAGACGCAAATTTCGGCAGAAACCCCGCGCATTGCTCTCTGATTCGGACAAAAGATAAGCTGTTTCATGGCTTTGCCAAACCAACTAATACAGGCTGGTACATTCTGTTTCAATTCTGGCAGACCCGCCAGCCCCATCCTCGCAACCGAGCCCTGCAAGTGTCACTCACAACATTCTGCAGGCCTAGCAGTGATGGAAATATATTCGGAGCTAAGAAATGGTCGGCGCGGCGAGTGCTCTGAATGTTGCTTGGCCAGACGATGGCTCTCGGCTGGGAGTGTGGAATCATTTGTTGGCAACAGTGTTCAGGAACAAGCAAGGTCGTTTCCACACTCCAACTGCCGGCCCCAATGCAACGTGCACATGCCTCATGCTCATGAACAGCCATACCAACCTGCCTCAAAGTGCAGAATCTCTTTTTGGCAACATCGTAAGCAGAAAACCGTTACTCGCCAGCGTGTTGGCATGTTGTGGAACGAAGCCAACATGCGCTCTTGGATGTGACTCTGTCTTGGAAACCAGCTGTGAATTGGCAAGCTCTGTTCCACAAGACGGTATCCGCGCCACGTTCTCCTGCATGTTTTGCAATCTACACCATGTACATGCAGGCCTGGGCGAAACATCACCCCCCAAACACCAACCTGTGGGCATGCATACTCCACTTGAAATATTCCTGGGGCCTCACGAACATGCAGAAGCTCTGTCAGTTGCTGACAGTCTGACAGCAACTGGCAAAAAGGCGCAGTGACTGCTTGAGTAACAGGGTGACTGTGACTGCGGTCCTAATCGTGGATATCCATGTGTTTGTATGCATTCCCAATATCATATATGGTGTTCATGAACGTCCTTGGTTGCAACATGATAGTCGGTAAGGAAATTTGAAAGCGCACTTGCTCCAACAACCAGCGACGGCAGGGAACAAGGGGTCTTCGTATTTGTTTGGTCTGTCACATGCGCCAGCGCTAGCACATGTACTAGATTGTGCCATCGATGCGGCGAAACGTACATGTTGATTCATTATCACAAGGCCTCTCGGGCCTCTTAGGGCAACTAGAGTGTCGGAACAAAGCTCATCTGGCCCCATTCCTCAAGAAGTCCCCCAAGTAGCTTAAAGAAAGTACGTGGCAAATTGGGTTGGATTCACGATCCAAGATTGCACAGAAAGCCTTTTAAGAATCTTGATCCAGAACACCCAAAAAAACACTTGAACGCTGCTGGGCAAACTTTATGAAGGTTGTTTGGCCTAGATCCAGTGCGAAGAAACTTTTCTCAGAAATCGCGGATCTTGCATCTAGCCCGAACAAACTTTACAGTTTGCCCAAAGCCTTTATTGTGTGTGTGTGTTTTGTTTATTATGTTTTTGAGATATGGAGGCCTTCTTGTTTCATTAATGAAGCGCTCAGTTGAAGAATGACATACAATGCCCAGTTTGATCTGCTTTTTTGGCGGGGAACAATGGCCGAAAACATATACCACAGTGTACTGCATGTGCCAAGGAGCAGATCCATGTTGTGTGCAACACTTTGCTGTTCTCGGCTTGGCTCAGTTCGCGCTTAGTTAAAATCATTGAGTTTGAGTCATCGCAACTAGCAATTTCAATAGTTGGATTCTCCAATTTGAATCGGAAAAGGAAATAGAACCGGGTAACGTTGAATTTGGCTTGAGCATGAAACAGCATGTCTAGTTGGATCAGAAGAGCCAAAATGAGGAGAGTCACTTGCCCCCACTGCTCGTGTAACGGGCTTTCTGATTTCCCTGCTTAACATTCTGCAGTGGGGGACATCTTGCCAACTTTGGGTGCCTGCTTCACTGAAATGATGGGGCTATTGTACAAATTCACATGATAAAATGCTCTTCGCATAGTGCCGTTTACGCTAGAAATTCAAGGTGTTGGGGGGCACGTAAAATACTTAAGCTCCGTGATTGCGAACCATCGAAGGATAAGGTGAAGTCAGACGTTGACCGCAGTTTCGAATTCATTGCCTTGTGTTTCGGATGCTGTGGTCCCCCGCTCATTGGGAAACTGTGCATGTTTGCGTGTATGTGTTTATCTGCATATGTGTGTGTGTGTGTGTCTGTCAAGCTGCAGCATGTCCTGACTGATGCTCAAGGACACATTGCATAAACTACGGTAACGGTAACGGCCTAGGCCATAACAACCAGCAGCGCAGCAGCATGCAAAGCAAACCGCAAGGTTCCGGGCTACCTGGCAGGATCAAGAAAAACTGTCCCAAGACTCCTTCCTTTAACCCGTGCCATACTGCTATCCTGCGCAGCCGAGAGTATATTCCACATTTTGTGCGCATGAAAGATTGGCCGTAGTGCATTTAGATTGCGGAACCTGCTCAGTTCCAAGCTGGTCAATTCAAGTGGTTTCCTTGTCCTGATGCAGCTGTCTTCACCCCGTCATACCCTGTCTTTGGCAAATGCCAACGGGGTAGCTTTGGGAAGCCTTATTTCTGCGAGACAGACTTGCCTGAAGGCAAAGGCTGTGCATACAACAAATCTTGTCGACTGAGATTGCCAGACCAGGCAAGCGGCTCCTGCCTCGCAGGGGTCCAATGCGCCCAATGGATTCTGGTATTTCAAGCAAAGGCAGTGAAAACCAGGAGGCCGAAATTCCAATGCGTCAACACGCAAAGTTACTCATCTTGTCAGAAATGCATGACATCCATCTGAACTGCACTGATAGTGTGGAATGTTCAGCCTCAGGCGGACCTACTTTGTACAGACCCGAAAGGCTCAGCTTCACGTGCCGGACGGGGGGGATGCGACCAAAAGCATCGGTTGATTCGTCCAAACTTCCAAACCATGACAATCGAAATGGCGATGCAATGCAATCTGGCCTCTCACAATCGATATGGTGCGGAGCGCCACACGCTTGAAGCTTCAGTACTCACTGTCCAAGGCCTAGGCACTTGCAGCCCAAAGTCTCAAGGGCTGTGCCAAGGCAAGTCTGAGACATCCGCATGCTGTCTAATGTCTAGACTGCAGGTACCTGAGGGCAATGTGTTGGCTCTACGGGGGGTTCTGCCCAGAACCCCACAACATGTCCAATGTGCGGTGCTTGTTTCAAGCTTAGGAGTCTTCTGGGAAGCCAACTGTATCTTGTCATGCTCATTATTGATGCATGCGTGAAAAGGAATCCTGTGTGAGACGGACATGGCCGACCCCAATTCAGCCTTTCGTGGTCACCACATGCTTGATTCAGGAGAGAGGGATTGCTCATTAGCTACAATGATCACAGCTGCAACTTTGCTGTTCAATATCTAGCAGAGCAAGCCTGAAGTGGTCAGCAGCATGTTCGCGCTGTCTCGGAGACTCTTCCCACCACCCCCCAAAACCCCCCCCGTCAAAACCAAATAAATGGTTGCTGGAAGCTGTGTGCGCAAACATGTAGTTAGCGAGGAAATGTGCCAATAACAAGCGCCCTATGGCACTGTCTCTCGAAGCACACTTGCATGCAACCCTGAGTTGGTGGTTTGGATTGGTTTGGTGTCCTCCCGAGCAGTTTCAGGGCTGCATAATCCCAACCAATTTCAGCTTACCTGACATCGGGCAGCTCAGAGGTTGGCCAGCCTCTGGGGCAGGCTCTCCAAAGAAGCCCAGCGCATCCTGCATAAGCGGCTGGACTGCGATGCTAAGTTGTTTTGATCTGCCCAGCTCGTGGAAAAACTCGTGTTGGCTCCAAAAGTGGGCACTCCCATCAGCCGAAAGGAGTATCAAGCCTGGGTGGGCCCCTCACATGTCAGTGAATATGGTTGAGCCGAAGTGGCCTAAATCTGGCATCCATGCGCCCTTTAAGGCGAAACGTGCATGGACTTAACAAAACCACGTCCAGCGGTTGCTCCGGTGTGCTTGCGACCTCGCCTGCCAGAGGGTGCGAGGAAAGCGACAGGCGAGGGCTGGCAGGCCATCTGCTGACACCTGGTCGGAAAGAGCCGGAATTCTTCAGTCGGAACCCGGAACATGACGTATATTCCACATATCCCATGGTTCAGGGCTGCAAAACCGAACCGGCACCATTGTGCTTACGGCATCTACTTGAGCTCTTATTTTCTGGCTGAATTTGCCTTTGGGCTGTGCAGTTGGCTTCAGGGGGTAAGCGCCGTTGAGGCATCGAGCCATGCGTCATGGCTCGTGGCCCTCTGCCGAGCGAATCAAGTTTGCTTGCCGCAGGTATCGACATCATGGAGCACCTCGTCTCCCTCCATCTGTGCGGCAAGGAAGTTGCGCACGAGAGACAAATTCATCTCTGTCCTGACGGCCAGTCTGTGCTCACAGCATCTATGCTTGAACTCAAATATTGGCATGCGTGCAAATGCGTCTGTGCGCGCGGCCTGAGCACCTCCAGATTCTGTTCAGACTTGAAGCCTGCAGCAAGGCTGCACTGTTACAAACCACTCTGCTCATACTGACTGCTGGGAGTGTAGTGGGCATTGGCAGGGACTTACAGGTTGCTGGCGGCGGAACGCCGAGGCTGCGACAGGAAGCCAGTATGGTCGGGAAGAGAATGGCCTTACCTCGCTCGTCCATGAAGTAGTGGAGTGGCCTCACAAAGTGTTGCTCCAGCGTGCAAGTGTCCGATCTGCCCTCAGAGCAGGTAATCTAGGCGCACCGCAGGTTGGCCAATCGCGCAAGCAGGGCCTGTCCCTCTCCATAGCAGAGGATGGTCTGGTTCCGTGGCTCTTCCAGGCAGTAGAAGCCTATGGTGCTGAGCAATGCATGCTTCAAAACAAACGTTGGCAGTATTTCTTGGCAGGAAGGACTACCAGGGCCGGAGGGTGCCCAATTGCTCCGCCCTCTTGCACAAGGCAAAATCTCTGATAAGGCCCCAGCCCAGCAAAACAACGGTTTCCTTAGAGCGTCCAGCGTCATGAGACAACTGAGTGTTGTGCAAATTCCATCTGGATGGCTTGCCCGCATGTAGCTAAGGATTGAGGCTAGCACGTGCAGCAAGTCGCTCTCCTCTGCTTGACCTCCCGCGGCTGCTTCGTGCAGATTGCGCAGAAGGTTCAATGCTCGATGAGCTTACCAAACAGCTAGGAACAATTGTCCGTTCACAATAGACAAATCTGCAAATTCTTGCCCCATTCCAATAGATTGGGCACATTGCACAAGCCTGCGCCCGGCTTGGTCAAGCTTGCAGGAAGGCGCCCGGTGCAGTAGTCCAGCAGTGAAACCAGCAAGTGATAGAACTCCTGTGTTACAAGATGTTACAAGTCAAAGCCGAGAGACAAACGCAGTTTGTCACTCCTGCTGCTGACCAGCACCCAGCGTCTTCTGCAAGGTTCCAAGGTCCTCCAGCAGAGAGCCGTCTGAAGGACCCATGAAGATGTCTTCAAATGGATAAGATCACCAGCCGTTAGTTGTTTACAGCATCGGATGGGTTGGCTCTCGTGTCGAAACATAAGCTTTGCGAGGTTAGCCTGTGCATAGGTACACAACTGAGGCTGTGTCAATGCCCGCGATGGTGTTGAGTATCCTCAATGCCTGTGGGCACACAATGTGAAAATCTAATTAGAATTGGAACGTCAGCAATCGGATGGGCAGCATAACAGGTTGAACCTTCATGCTTTCAACGCATCGATTGTGCGTTTTGCGTCAAGCATTTCATGGCAGCTGGTCATGTCGCGCCTGCATGCAAAGGGATACCACCGTTTGCGGCAGCTTGGCGCCCTTCTCACGTCGACCCTCTGAGAGCAGAATGGACACAAGAATGCCCACCACACCTCAGGCATAGGGGCTCGGCTAAGCTTGAAGCAAACACTGAACAGCTCAGTGATGCGCTGCCTGAAGCTTTTAAAGCTTTTGAATCTTTTGAAGGCTGAGGGTTTTCGAGGATGCCTGTGAAGTCTCTTGCCACTAGTGCAGCTCTACAGCCTTAGCCAAGAGTCCGAAAAGCTCCGTGCTCCGGAAGATGTCAAGGACCTGCTCGTGCATGGCCTTCGGACAAGTGGAATGCGTCCAAAATCAGCGATAGACCCCGATGGCAACAGCAGCTTCCCCGCAACTTGCAATTTTTGTGGATCTCCAAGCAACTTCAGATCCCACAAGAACACCATCGGGGCACCAGCCACTGGAACACCAGCGAGGCACCGCCCAAGCACTACCAGCAAATCAGCGACAACAAACAGATCAAACAGGACACTGCTCGAAAGTAATCAGAGCGCAGGCTGCCGGCACACCAGAAGAGCCCGTGGGACATTGGCACATCTCGGGACGAGACAGCAGCGAAAACTTTGAGACCGACCCACGGCTAGAACACCACCGGCACAGCACACCAGGCGCACCAACCAGAACATAAACTGGGACACAGGCGCAGACCAAGTGAGTTTCATCAGGCCTCCCAACAGCAGAGAAACAACGACCCGAACAGTGCCGCGACACCACCACAGCGGCCAGAACACTAACGAAACACCAGCAATCGGAAAGAAATTACACCAGCGGCACACCAAGCGGCATTCGGCACGGCACTGCTGAGACGGAAACTGGCACCACGGCGACATCGTCGGAGCGCCAGCAAAACGCCCCGAAATGACAGAAATGACGGAAAAGGCCAAATCAGCAGCACAACGCCGGGACACGCTGGGACACGTGACACCAGCCCAGGAGACACTACCGAGACACCACACCACCGGAACACCACTGGGACACCACCAGGACAAAGAAAAGGCACCGATTCCGGACAAAATGGTTGCACGGACACTTTCCAGGTAGTAGAGTATTGGACCCCATAACTGGACGCCATTGGGGACGAAGGCATCTACCAACACCTCTCTTCTGCATCTGCGCTGATGGTTTCCAAGAACTGCTGCCATCCTCCGGCGCGCCTCTTGCATCCGATAGGCGGAAACCAAAGTTTCCAGAAAGCACCTTGCCAAAGGCTTCAAGGTGCACGGCCTTGAAGCCACTCCCAATTGCAAACCCTCTGTGCTACCGCGCATCGCCCGCAACAGCAGAACCGGCAACGGTGAGGCACCGTCGAAAAACTTGAGGCCACCTGGGCTACGACTGAAACTCACGTCCCTCAAAAGCCTTGCGTCAAGCACCGCAAGCACCTGTGAGGCAGCTGCGAATCTCGGCTCGGCCGAAGAGGTCCCGTAGCCTGCAGTGCAGTGGAGCACAGTCAATACGCCGGATGCACATGGCACCCCATAAGCCAAGCTTTGCCAAGAAACTTCTCCGCGAGTCCGCTGAGAAGAAGATAGGAAGCCAAAGTGGCCTGACACTTACTGCCAAGGGGGTTGCAGTGCTTCCAGTGTCCCTGCGAAATTGGGAGTCCGTAGTCACTTAACACGCTGCCCATGATGTGCGAAGTGGCAGCCTGCATCTCGCGTGCGCACTCAGGAGGCACCTCAACGCTTTCAGTCAACATACCAAAAGAAGCTGACTCCACGAGCATCCAACCGGCTTCATGTGCAAAAACTGCACGGTGAGCACGTTTAGCAGCTGTGGTAGGAAAAGTACCGGCCCACCCTGGCACATGTTTGACACAGCTGCCATGTCCAAGTCCTCAACCAGCCACGGCCGTCCTGCACGTCGTGCGGCTTCAAATCATCTGCAAAGTGCATGTCCTGCAGGGAGGGAGGCAACATTCGTTCCAAGCAGCTTGCTCTGCAAAATGCAGGGCTGCTGTGGGACATGGTCCAGATAGGCCAAGGCCACATCGGCGAGCAGCACCACACGGCCAGTGAGAAGCAGCACCAGTTTGGCCAAGCGTGACTTGCACAGGAGGCCCAACCACTTCAGGGCACACAGCATGACATTGCAATTCCTCAGTGCCGAACTGGAGGCACTTGATTGGACTTAAGCATGCTTGCAAACTGGTGAATTATACAACAAGAATTGCAGCCTGGAACATTTCCAATCAGCTCAGCCACTGTTTCCATGCCACCAGCGGTGCTTTGTCCCCTGACCTTAGCTCATGGCCAATGGCAAAGGTGCAATCTGCAGAGCCTGTGTCCATGTTCCTTCCGTGCATGTTTCTTTGCCCGCATTGAACAGCATCCGGCTGGGCTTAAACTGTTGGGTGCGTCCAGCCAGAAAGCTGCAAAAGAACAACTGTAACTTGTGGCCAGCCTTCTGCAGCTCTGACTCTTTGATTCTGCCATACTGAGATTTCGGCATGTCAAGGTTGGCAATGGAGTCTTTGACAAAGCAGCAAATATCGACCACCATCCTGCGCTGTGCTCATACAGCGAATGTCAGGCAAGTGTGACCCATAGACCTCCAATGAAGCTTCTGCGGGGTGCTCCATTTGAGTTCAATCTGAGCTGCCTCGCCTTGAACAGTTTAGCTTCAGAATCAGTGCGTAGTCTGCCTCTTTCTGCGCTTGCGTCAGGACCTTGCGACTTCAGCATGCTCAAATGGCAGTGTTGGAGGGATCTGTGTTTAGCAATGCAAATCAGTTTCTTCAAATCAACCATCTCACAGCGCTTGTTCTGGGCGTATGTCCTAATTTGCTGAAGCGTGTTTGTCACAAATCCAAGCAAAACCAAGGCCCAAATGCTGCGCAAGTATGGGCACCGGCTGTCCACTAAGTATGCCACTTTGCAGAATTCTGCAAGAACCTTGGGCCGTGGCAACTCGCATTTCACGAATCACCATGCTCATCTGATGTCTGAACCAATGTTCCACTACCTGCACAGAAGATCTTGAGTTGCGGTTGTGGTAGTTGTTCAAGCCGAATTTAGAGCATCGTACTTCCTGATTGTTGTGTGCCGGTCTAGACAGCACATCTGCCAGCCTGTCCAATGCCTGTGAATGCCTATCCACAGCCCAAAAGCAAGATTGCGACACCATTCAGCTGTCAGAAGAGCTCCGAAAAGGCAGCAAATGCATGCATTTGAGTGCCAGAGCGGTTTCAGTCTTCTCCAAGTTCAGCGATCCAGGCTGGTGCACATCATCCTAAACGGAATTCATGCACGTTGTATCTGCATAGCTTGCAAAAGCACATGGGAATCTGTCGAAGCACTTCATGGGCCACGAGGGCGAGAGGAAAATGCGGCTGAGATGCGGAACAGGCAGCCCCTGCCATGATAGGCTTCACCAGCTTGGCCAAGTCACCGGCCAACTTGCTGATCTTAACACCTCGAGTTCGTTTGGGGTCGGTGCAACTGCTTTCGCAAAAGTAGCTGGGCCTTGCAAAAACAGCTGTCTGCAAACGGCACTGCGCGCCTTTTTCTCCTCTTTGCCTCATGGAAGAGTTTGGACAACCTCGTCCAGAACCTGCATAAGGCCCTGAACATCCTGACAATTCCTTGCTGGATCACCTGCCTCGCACTGACAGGAGCAGAAGGTAAAGTTGCAAAGCTTTGCTTCGCCTCCGCCTTGCCAGGCACCCAAATCCTGAAGCAGTGCTTGGATCCTGCGACGTAGCTTTGGCAACCCAGGCACAGGGCGAGCCTCCAAATTGAGAGCCCCAGGCGCCTCTTTGGCCTCGGGCACAGCTAGGAGGGTCTTCAGCAGCCTTGCTGCCTCCAGCGCAACCCGCGCATTTCGGGTCAGCAGCAGGCTAGTCAGTGCCTCGAAGCAGCAGCCAGCGCAGTTGTCTGGATGCCGCCACTGCACAGAGGATTCCCAGTCACTTGTCATTCCATCGCCTGATTTGGGCTGAAAATAACTTGAAGATGGCTCTGGGCAAGCCCCCACTCCATTATCTACCTGAGCTACTTTCATGAATCCACATTGGATCACCACCTCTAGCAAGCTCCCCTCAATGGAACTGCTGCCAAGTTTGGGGCGGTGCGGCGTGCCTCATGATTCATTGATACTGGCGCTATCTTAAATGGCCAATGCTTGCCAACATATTGCTTCTGTGGAAGGAAGGCTGTTTCATTCCATATTCAAGAAGATGTATAAGCACACAGCACTGTTGGCATTGACTGCCCGACTTGCCAACACATTGTACAGGACTCGGACATCTGCCAGGCTTCGTTGAATAAAACCATGTCAGACTGCAGCCGAGAAGCACCTGTAGCAGCCATGGCGCCGTCCAGGTAGCTGACACCTGTAGCAACCTTTGCAGTGCCCTGCCAGGACATAGCCCTGGCATCCCTGTCCAAAGCATTGACAGCAAAAGTAGCGCTCCCCGTCCAAAGCAGGACACCAGAAAAGCATGGGTCGCAACTCGCAGAAAGACTGCCTGAGAGGCAAGCCAAAACAAGACAATGTGCGCTGCGTTGCACATTGTACAATGTGGCAAGTTCATGCGTGCGTCTGTGTGTGGATCTTGTGTGAGTGTGCGTGTGCGTGTGCGTGTGCCTGTGCGTGTGCGTGCGCGTGTGCGTGTGCGTGCGCGCGCGCGTGCGTGCGCGTGCGCGTGCGCGTGCGCGTGCGCGTGCGCGTGCGCGTGCGCGTGCGCGTGAGCATGGGCATGGGCGTGCGCGTGCGCGTGTGCGTGTGCGTGTGCGTGCGCGTGTGCGTGTGCGTGTGCGTGTGCCTGTGCGTGTGCGTGTGGCGTGTGCGTGTGCGTGTGCGTGTGCGTGGACGTGGGCGTGGGCGTGGGCGTGTGCGTGTGCGCGTGGGTGTGGGTGTGTGTGGGTGTGTGAGTGTGCGTGTGCGTGTGCGTGTGCGTGTGCGTGTGCGTGTGCGTGTGCGTGTGCGTGCGCGTGCGCGTGCGCGTGCGCGTGCGCGTGCGCGTGCGCGTGCGCGTGTGCGTGTGCGTGTGCGTGTGCGTGTGCGTGTGCGTGTGCGCGTGTGCGTGTGCGTGTGCGTGTGCGTGTGCGTGTGCGTGTGCGTGTGCGTGTGCGTGTGCGTGCGGTGCGTGCGCTTGGGCGCGTTGCGTGTGCGTGTGCGCGTGCGCGCGTGCGCGCGCGCGGGTGTGCGCGTGTGTGCGCGGGTGTGCGCGTGGGCGCGCGTGTGTGCGCAAGTGTGCGCGTGTGCGCGCGTGTGCGCGGGTGTGCGCGCATGTGTGCGTGCGTGCGTGTGTGCGCGTGTGCGCGCGTGTGCGCGCGGTGCGCGCGGGTGTGCGCGGGTGTGCGTGTGGTGTGCGCGGGTGTGCGCGGGTGTGCGCGGGTGTGCGCGGGTGTGCGCGGGTGTGCGCGGGTGTGCGCGGTGTGTGTGTGCGCGGGTGTGCGCGCGGGGGTGTGCGCGGGTGTGCGCGCGGGTGTGTGCGCTGGTGTGTGCGCGGGTGTGCGCGCGGGTGTGTGCGCGGGTGTGCGCGCGGGTGTGTGCGCGGGTGTGCGCATGTGTGTGTGTGTGTGCGCGCGGGTGTGTGTGTGTGTGTTTGTGTGTTTGTGTGTTTGTGTGTTTGTGTGTGTTTGTGTGTTTGTGTGTTTGCGTGTTTGCCTGTTTGCGTGTTTGCGTGTTTGCGTGTTTGCGTGTTTGCGTGTTTGTGTGTTTGCGTGTTTGCGTGTTTGCGTGTCTTGTGTGTTTGCGTGTTTGCGTGTTTGCGTGTTTGCGTGTTTGCGTGTTTGCGTGTTTGTGTGTTTGTGTGTTTGTGTGTGTGTGTTTGTGTGTTTGTGTGTTTGTGTGTTTGTGTGTTTGTGTGTTTGTGTGTTTGTGTGTTTGTGTGTTTGTGTGTTTGTGTGTTTGTGTGTTTGTGTGTTTGTGTGTTTGTGTGTTTGTGTGTTTGTGTGTTTGTGTGTTTGTGTGTTGTGTGTGTGTTTGTGTGTTTGTGTGTGTGTTTGTGTGTTTGTGTGTTTGTGTGTTTGTGTTTGTGTGTTTGTGTGTTTGTGTGTTTGTGTGTTTGTGTGTTTGTGTGTTTGTGTGTTTGTGTGTTTGTGTGTTTGTGTGTTTGTGTGTTTGTGTGTTTGTGTGTTTGCGTGTTTGCGTGTTTGCGTGTTTGCGTGTGCGCGTGTGCGCGTGTGCGTGTGTGCATGTGCGTGTGCGTGTGCGTGTGCGTGTGCGTGTGCGTGTGCGTGTGCGTGTGCGTGTGCGTGTGCGTGCGCGTGCGCGTGCGCGTGCGTGCGTGCGTGCGTGCGTGCGTCCGTGCGTGCGTGCGTGCGTGCGTGCGTGGGTGGGTGGGTGGGTGGGCGGGTGGGTGGGTGGGTGGGTGTGTGTGTGTGTGTGTGTGTCTGTGTCTGTGTCTGTGTCTGTGTCTGTGTCTGTGTCTGTGTCTGTGTGTGTGTGAGTGTGCGTGTGCGTGTGCGTGTGCGTGTGCGTGCGTGTGCGTGTGGGTGTGCGTGTGCGTGTGGGTGTGGGTGTGGGTGTGGGTGTGTGTGTGTGTGTGTGTCTCTGTGTGTGTGTGTGTGCGTGTCTCTGTGTGTCTGTGTGTGCTTGCTTGCTCGCTGGCTGGCTGGCTGGCTGGCTGGCTGGCTGGCTGGCTGGCTGGCTGGCTGGCTGGCTGGCTAGCTTGCGTGCCTGCGTGCCTGCGTTCCTGCGTGCCTCCTTGCCTCCACGCCTGCATGCCTGCGTGCATGAGTGCGAGCGTGGTGCATGTGCCCCTGTGCTGTGCGCTTGTGTGTGTGTGTGGATTCCCTACTCTTCACTGATGCTAAAGTGGCCAACAACTATGTGCAGCATGCTAACGCATCATACAACTCTGCTAGACAAAAAGCGACAGGACGAGTCTTGCAACAAGCTTGGCCGTTTCGCAGACCTCAAGTTCAGCCCAAGGACTTCACCAAGACTGCCGCATCGCGGCCAGTGCTGGCAATCATCCCCAAAGTTTGCAGCAGCGAGTCTACCATCTCATCGCTGCTGGACCACTTGCAGCCAAGCCGTTCCTGCCCTGAAAAGCAGAGCCGAGAGCCTAGGGACTCCTCGGCAATTCACGCAAAAAAAAAGCAAAGATTGGCCAAAACAGGTAGAAACTATAGGCAGGATGTAACAAGAGGCCATAGAAAGCCATGAGAAATCATGAAGTGATAGGAAGTAATTCGTCAATCACGGATCACGGGATGTCACTGGAGATCACAATCATACAGGTTCTTTGAACCAAAGCCATGCAACTTTGGCCAGGGCACCACCAATGCCTTCACTGCGATCTCTGCGTGGCCTTTGACCACAAAACGCTGCAGCACCTCAAGAGCCCTCCTGGCTGAGCCAGGTCGCGAGCGGCTGCAAATCTCAGAGCCCAGAAACCTCGAATGCACAGCTTGCCATCTCACATCAAGGTTGCTTCCAAGTAGTCATAAAAAAAGGATGACAATGCGCGGAAACATGCAGCCCGATTCTTGAGCTGGGCAAACGCTCACTGGGCTCACTGGCTCACGAGACTAGACCGAGCCAGGAAACAAATGACCGTGTCAGGAAACATGAGTCAAGAAATGGAAAGGGGCGAGTCAAGAAACAACTGGAGGCAAGTCAAGAATAAGAGTCCTGACTCGCCCCTTACCCCTCACGAGACTAGACCGAGCCAGGAAACAAATGACCGTGTCAGGAAACATGAGTCAAGAAATGGACAGGGGCGAGTCAAGAAACAACTGGAGGCAAGTCAAGAATAAGAGTGATGAATATTTAGAACAGCAAACGTGAGTCAGGAAACGCGGAAACGTGAGTCAGGAAACGCGATTCACAAATGATGTAGTCAGCGCTTTTGAATTGGCGGTGATGCTGGGATGCAAGTCTGGCACCGCGTGCTTTGCGCTCTGACGCGTGCTTCGTGCATCGTTACTTGGTATCGTCATGGCTCGGATCAAGGAACAACCTGGCGTGCAAAGCTGTTCGAATCAGGGGAGAGGGGAGGCGTGAAGAGACATGCGTGATGCTGGCCGCAATGCAAAGGGGGATGCAGAAGCTAGTGCATGCTTTGTTCTTTGCCGTTTGCTTTGTGCATTGTGCCTTGATGTCGTCGTGGCCCAGGTCAAGAAAAAGCTTGCCTTTTTGGGTTTAGGTTTAGGGTTTTAGGGTTTAGGTTTAGGGTTAGGTTTGCGTTTGTAGGGTTAGGTTTAGGGTTTTTAAGGTTTAGGTTTAAAGTTTTTTAGGGCTCAGGTTTCCTGACTCGCCCGTGCGTTCAAGGCACTTTGTGACCTCAGCGGCGTCGTTCGATTCGTTCGACGCGTCGAGGGCCGCGAGGCTGGCGATGACGTCGCTGCGCACCTGGCCGCCGCATTGGAGCAGCTCCGAAAGCAGCGCCCACGCGGGCGGCGTCAGCGCCAGCAGTGAGCGCAGCGCCAAGCTCTGCACCTCGTAGCTCTGGCATTCGTCCTGGCCGATCAAAATCCACACATCGCAACATGCTGTTCACTGAACGTGGAGAACCTTCAAGGATTCAAGATCTGAGATTTTCCAACAAAGGACTGTCCCTTTTGGCAGTGTCTAGGTTCTTTCAGAAACACACCATCTGTTGGGAGAAACATTGTTGCGCACTCCTCTGTCCTTGACTATGGCTTTGAGATTGTCAATGACCTTTGCATCGCCTGGAGTTGCCAAGACGGCCAATGCCTGCACAGCAGCGCGGCGCACGCCCTCGTAGTTCAGCGTGTGCTTGTACTTGCCCTCAAGGATGACCACACGCACTACACACCAATGTGCTGGGTCGTGCATTTCCAGTAGCTGAAGAATGGCTGCGACCACCTGCTCATCGCCAGGATCTGCCATCTGCTTTAGCATACCTAGAGCAGCCAGCACAATCGGAAACTTGTCAACCTCCACACATAGGTCTTTGCGTGTTGATGAGAAGTCATATTCCCCCGAAATGCGCACACAGGAGTGGTTCAGAAGATGCGTTGCTGCTGCGATTGCCTTGTGAGCCGCTGCGCTGTGTTTGCTCAACAGAGCCGGCAATGTAGAAAGAGCACATTTCAACGGCCCCCAGCTGGAATACTCATCGGCGACTTTGGCATGTGGTAGCATGGCATGGCGGTGGGAGCCTTGCCCGAATGGGTCCGTCAAATGCTCACCCAAGTGATGTGCCGAGGACATTAGTGGCTCACGGTTGAGCACGCCCAAATGCCTCTCAGGCTGCGAACGATGCAAAAGCCAATGCAAAGCTCTCCTGTCCGAGTCCGAGTCCAGGCCCCTGGTTGGAGTAGCAGGACTTGAGGGGAAAAATGGCGTTGAGGGGAAGAATGGCGAGGCAGGGCTAGAGAAGTGCGCAGGATACTCCATTGCATCATCACTACCATGTTCGCTGAAGCTTCCGGGATTGCTGTTGTGCTCTGATTCCTCCTGGGCCGAGGCGATTGGGGACGCCAGTTCCTCCAAGGTATTGTCATGATCACTGTGGCGCTCACTTCCGCTAGACCGTGAGCGGGGAGTAAAGAGCTGTGGCAAATCATCTCCATCCTCGCTGGGGCTGTCGATGGGGATAGATTCGATGGAAGGAGGCTGTGGTGTGGCCGACTCAGAGGTCGCCACTGCCTGCTTGGAATCTTTTTTGCGTGTTAAATCATTTTGCTCGTTTCATTTTGCAAGCCCTTGCCTGCAGAAGGATCTCCAGCAGCGCCATCTCGGCCAGCCGCCGGCTCAGCGTGGACAGCACCCGCAATTGGCCAGCGCCCAGAAGGGAGCCTTAGTTTTCAGGCCAAGTGGTCGCAATGGTGCCAACAGCTTCCCAAGATCCCTCTGAAAAATGAAGGAAACACGTCCAGGCAGCTCTGCACTAACCAGCATGGCAGCTCTGAAAGCTGCGCACGGTCCAACAGCATGGCTGTGCCGGAAAGCGAGTAGAATTCAAGCTGTGATGGTGCCCTCCCATGAAGAGCCAAAGAAATCTAGCCAACGGATATTGATGGCTTGCGTGCTTGTGTTGACTGATGACTGATTGCTCGTATGTTCACGTTTGTGTGCTGCATGCGTGCCTATGTGGTGCACAGCAAGTGCTTTGAGTCAATACACTGGAATAGTTGCAGTCAGCTTGTCAACAAGGCGCAACTGCTGAACTCGTGAAGCCAAGAGCCCCCACGCTGCACGGCATTCTGCGCCGCATTGCGGCCGTCGCTTTCAGCGATGCGCAACGCCTGCGGGCGTAGGCATATTGAGCTGTTACATATTTGCCAGCCACCTCTTGCCACGTTTACATGACATTGCGGTAACTGTGTTTGTGCCATTCTGATACGTTGATTACACGGAAACTTAGGCCTGCTGAGGAAATCAACAGCACTTACACGTGCTTCACAAACGTAATATCATCTGGCTTACGCCCTGCTGGCAGCTCATACTGTCAATAAACCAAAATGTCTGCATTACCAGGCTTCCGTCTTAATATGTTTTTTCCTCTTGGAATATTTCAGAGCCTCTGACTTTCTCCATGGCACGATGGGGCCTCCTCTTCGCTCACTGCAGACGTCAACTCCTTTCTCAGCGCAGCTCGCGCAGCGGCAAACCGTGGCACTGGCGCCTGCGCAGATCGTAGGCATTAACAAATCAGACACATCGTCCCAGTGATGCATTTTATCACGCGCTGGATCAAGGCAAGTCATCTCTTTATCCACTTGGCAAAGCGGGCTAGAGCTCTCCAGGAGCATCCTGGCACAAGCCCAGCCAATTGCAGTGGGGAGCATGATAGGGGCGTGTCGAAGTTCAAGCAAATTCCCCGCAGTCCTTTAGGCCCAACTTTTTCAAGTTCTGTGCTGCATGGGGGTGGCCAAGGGCCTTGGCCTCCAGGGTCAAAGGCACCCCAACCGCAACTTCTGAACTTCAAATCTCAAATATCTTCAATTCATCTCTTCATCTCTTCATCTCTTCATCTCTTCATCTGTCTCTCTCTCTCTCTCTCTCACTCTTCTCTGAGAAAAGCTCCAGCGGCAGCAACCGAACTGCATAGAACGCATAGAGGCTTTGAAAACTCCAACCTGCTCCAGGTACTCTGCTGCCTTCTTCCTGAGATCTAAAATGAAACACACATGAACGCTCGTTCTCTCTTTCAACTCAGTTTGCAGCGCCTTGCACAAGGCTTCCAATGCATAAGATTCACACCAAGCAGGCGACCTTTGTGCTACACAAGAGCAGCAAGTTTGGCACGCTCGGCCAGCAAATGCCAGCAGCATCTACTCACAGCCCTTCTTTTTGCAGCCTTCTCATCCACCTCGCTGCGATGGAATACCTTCCATGGCAGGCAAACCAAAACAAATATGAAATTGAGGACTCGCAAGCGCACAATCGACTTAAGACATCAGGGCGAAAGCTTGCTTCTTTGCAAACATGGCTCCAGCGTTTAGGAAAGTCATGTCCAACACCTTCGTCCCAATGCCAGTGAGTGTTATACTGGGCCAACATCTTTTCCAGCTGTCTTCGAGGCACAAAAGGATCTTTCGTGCCATTGATTGAACAAGACCGTGTTTTGCGCTTCGACCTCGGAAGAAGCTCCTGCCAATCCATCCAGCCACCGCCCACATAGTCATTCATGCTGGCGGAGAATACTGGCTGCCCCGTCACCCCACCGCACACCAAAGCACCCAAGGCGCCCATGCGCACAGCACTGAGTGCTGCAATGATTGAGCCTTGAGAGAATCCGGCCAGGATCAAATTCTTCGGCTTCAGATGATACTTGTTCAGCAATACCCGCAGCCACCTTTCCACATGCCGCAAACGTGCACGAGCTACTCGATGAAGCTCCCTGCAGAGGAAAATTGACAAGAGAGCCTTCCTAGAGTTCAAGTCTCTGTGGAACTTCAACTGCCGGGTGCATGACTCGTTCACCAAAATGTTACTGTCAGTTCTGCGCTTGGCTCTCCAGTCAAAGCAGGTGCTTGCCCACTTACTCACAGATGACACTCCCCCAATTCATGACTCGCCTGACATTTTCCGCCGCATTGGTTGTGTCCTGATGACCTTCCTGCCGCAGCCAGTCAAAGCCGTCTGCATCGGCCCAAATGCTGCGGTCTGGCGACTGCGGCACCACCACGATACCACCATGCAATGATTGATGGGTTGACCGAGATTGGAACTGGCTTGCAGTTCAACAGCTGGATCACATCGATCAAGAGTTGAAAGCGGCCAGTGCATGCAAGTAGCCACCGTGGTGCCTGGAAGTTGTGCCCAGGCTGAAGCAACACCCTCTGCCCAGCATTCAGCGCTATCATTGAGGCCGTGGAACATGACCACGATGAAGCTGCGGCATTGGCCAAGAAACCTCGCCTTGGACGGGGCCTCCCAAAGGTCAGCACGCGACTCATCCTGGAGGGAAAGCGACGCGCAACTGCGATGTCTTCAACTGAATATGTTCTAACAGTACATGACTCTCTCTGCACCTATCTGTTCACCTCGATATCCACTCAAACGAAACCACTTGTCATTTCACCCCATGCGCTCAACGGCTTGCGCCACAAACAGGTCCTGCCAACGCTCGGCTTGCTCAGCTTCTTGCTCTTCTTGCTTGGCTTCCGTTGACTTTTCTTGGCTCTTGATGTGCTCGTCTTCCGCATCGTGCTCACTGGCTTTGCATTGCGCGTTTCGCGCTTCATGGCTCGGACGGCTGAACGCGTTGACAAAGTTGGGCAAGCTGTAAATGCAAAGTGAATACATGGAAAGTGGACTATGTGGACTGATCCACAGATGCAAAGTCAGAGTCTTGAGCCCTGTGGCACCCACACTGGAGGGCCTGAACGTTGCAGAGCCTGTGCTCAATATGCGCCCAAGACTCAGGTTCTTGTCAGTCCCCTGACCAAGGGCATACAGCGCTCCCAGGCTGTTAAATGCCCGGGCGACCTTAGGTCAGCATGAAGCAGTAAAGGTCGGTCATATAGACCAGCAAGCAGGGGCAACCCAGAATTCTAGGATGCCCTAGCTAGTGAACAATGGTCTGATGCGAATCTCAGCTTCCTTGCCCAACGTGGATGCTTCGTGTCACCAGGAGAGGCAAGCAAAAATAAACGATTCGGCAGCAGACAAGCCTTTCACAGCCACGCTGCTGCTGTTCTGTTGCGGGTCGCAGACGGCAGCTTGTGGTCCGCAGAAAGCACGGAATTCATCTCACCCACGACCTTCCTGTAGCTTGGGGCATAGCCCGAATGTCTGAAGCAGGGATTGTGTTGTTACTGGGGAAGCTTGGTATTGGGAATTCGGGCTCAATGCACAAGAAGCAAGCCGCTGGTACCAGTACTTAGCCTCGGTGTAGTCCAGATTTGTGCCTTGCCCCATCCGATACATGTCCTCGTGTGCCGAAGGGCCGTCAAGGACAGAAATGACTTTCAATGCTTCAAACATGCCAATGAAGTCATGCGACTGCAAGGTCATTCTGGGCGGTCAAAGAACCCTCCCTCGCAGCCGATCGGAACCTCAACGTTGCCAACAACCTCCTTGAAGCGCGGCTGTACTATGTTCAACATCAAATAAATGAATAAATAAATAAATAAATAAAGCATACAAACACAAAACACGTGTTGCACGCTGTACACGGTCTCTCAAGAAATCCGTATCTGGCAGGGCCAGGCAGCCATTTCAAAGCGTTGGTCATGCGCTCCTCCCGAGACCTGAGGGCACGGACCAGTCCTGTTGTGGCATTCCTAATGGTCACCGCATTCGAGCGTGCACGCGATTGCACAAAATGGCTCCTTGCAGAACATGCTCGTGCAGCAGTGCCTTTCATCACGTGGCCTGTTGTTCCAATGGGTCTGTACAAGCATTGCCACAAGTGACTCACAGTGTTGAAACAAACAATGGTATTGACTTCGTTTACACCAATCTGCTATCTTTTGAGAAAGGCCAGCAGTCGTCTCACCTGATACTCACTTGCAAAATGGTTTGACCGAAAAGCGCTTACACACCCTTGCCAACCAAGCCTTCTGGTGACCCACTGATAACCTGCTGGCGCGAGACAAGTGCTCAAGGCCAGTGCCGTTGTAGTACAACTTGCCCAGCAGTTCTGCAGACCTGAATGCGCAAAGGTCACGGCGACAGGGCTGGAAGCGCTGCTCCATGCACCCTGGATAGCACATGCGCTTCCTAGACTATGCTTGTCTGAAACTTGGCATCAGGCTTTATACTGCCCTGGGAGGCCGCCTTGATGCCGTACTGAACGGCTCTACCTGGACATTGCGTTGCTGGGAGCTCGACGGCCTCTCCGGGCGCGCCCGAAGGCCTGGGTCTTGCAGCAGGTCCTCGTGGCCTCGGCCGAAGGCCACGGCCAGCAGCTCCTGCGCGTCGCGGTCCCCGGCGTCTGCGGCCGCTTCCGCCCATCGGATGGCCGTGTGGATGTCCTTCTTCACACCGTGCGTGCCGTAGAAGTAGTCCTGCATTGGAGCTTGAATACACCCAGGTTCTTGAATGTGTATATCATGTCAAGCGCGGAGTGAAGTACTGATAGTGTTGTGCATAGTTGCATGCACCATGCAAATTGGAGCCCTTGAGCAGCAAAAAATAATAGCAAAATGGTCTCCGTACATCGAACTGCAGCTATAAAAGTGATGCCACTGAAAGAATGCTACTTGCTGAAAGTGCCTGACAAGCATACTTGTGTTTCACATTCTAAAGCACTCTCGCCATGCCTTGCAAACATCAGCTTGCTCTGAAATCAAACAACAACGCGTGGCCTAGGCCAATGCCACATAGCGCATGCTGGCATGACCTATTTGCATGTCGGCCTCCAGCAGTTTCACGGCCCATACTTACACGCGCCGCTTCCATCCAAACATGCGTGCCATGGAGCTGTGCTAAGGTTGCCATTCATTGCACAATCATGATCTTTGCTCGCAGTGAGTGCTGGTACGTTGCTCGCTTGCTCGCTCACCTTGGAAATGGCTTGCTTTCGTTGCACACGCAATTGTACCCACATCTCGGGAAGCCTCCAGCCTAGGCCACCGAACGAATGGAAGAAAACCAATAGCAACTCAGCAGGTGTCCAGTCCACTTTGTTTGAGCAGAGTAAGAAGCCCACAGCCACGGCAGTTTTATCACAAATGACATTGGAATTTAATCCAGGATTCCACCTCTAAGAGCAAATCTATCCTGAAAACAATCCCTGAATGAGAGCCCTAAGCAAAAAAGAAGCCTCATGCAATCTTTTGGGATTTCCCAAGATTCCCCTTGACGGTGAGGCTTTGGGTATATAGATTTGCCCTCAGGCCTGGGCATGTGTTTCATTGCACGTATTGCACTATGGGGAAAGGATTGAAGAGTCTGAAACAAAACTGTGATGTGATAGCAATCTTGCAGGGGCAGAAGAAATCATGATGAACGCTGTGGGCTAGGCTGAATGGTGAATGGTCTTTGATGCGCGAACAAGCACATGGTTCCAGCTGCACTTTTGCTTGTGAAGACTCTACAGTCATAGGTTTCGCTCGTTACGTGTTCAAAGTAGCGGCATCGTTCTTCGGAGGCTTTGAAAGGAACACTAAATTGAACTGTGTGATGTGAGAGAAATCAGGCTAATTCTATGGGGACGAGACAATCAAACGCAAGGGTCGCATCGCACTGATTTAAGGCACAACACGTCGAACAACAACCTGCAAGCCATCAGCGCGCTCCTGTGCCAGTAGTGATTGGGCTGTCGCATCACCCCTGAAAGCAAGCCGCGCAACTGCACATGCAAACTTGAATAGCTACATGCCCACCCCATGGATCAAATATGGTAACACCTGCACGGCTGTCAAACCCATCACACCATATATGTTTTTTGGAAAACTACTCAAGCAAGCGTTCAAAGCAGTACCTGGCCTTTCTGCGTGTTGTACAAGGCTCTTGAAGATGCCCTCATCTTCATCACTTTGCATACCTCAACCGATCGACACAACTCTGTACAAACCTCGAATTCCATCAAGTATTAGCAAACACGATATTTCACAGAGTTCCTGCCATTTGACAAGTACTATTGTCAGCCCCGTTGCTCCATCCAGACTCCGAACCTCAGATACGAATCCAACGCTTCCCACAACACTCAGTCTCACATCTGCAGAGTTCAGTGCATGTTGCTGCACATCCTTCAAACGGTTGACAGAAGTGCTCCGGGCTGGCAAACAAAGCAGGAATGTGCGGCTAATGTACACAATACCCTTGTTGGCGCCAGCTTCTAAGCTCAGCTGCCATAAGACGGCCATATGTGCCACAGCAGAAAGCAGTACGACGCGAACATGGCGCGTTCGTTCAATGTTCCATGAAGACACACACAAGGCCATGTCACCGCTGCCAGCTTCACCTGGCTGTTAACGCCGCAGCCGCAACCGTTTTTGTCCGCTCGAGCTCGCTCCACATGTCAACAATTGGTCTGGTTGTCGAAAACTGGGATCCAGCAGTACTAGAATCGAACGTGGTGCTTAAATCGGTCACCACAATATGGTGTTTGGATGTGGGGCAAAAGCTAGCTGTCTCAAGCTGACTGCTTTGAGCCAATGGCATTTGCGTCAGACTCATCGTCTTTCCATGCATCGCTCAAAATTCAAGACAGGCGCAAACACATCCACTGATTGTCACCCTTGCAATGCTCACAGTAGGATTGGCTTTAACTTCTAAATCTAAATTCGAGTATCTTCGTCTGCCAGTGCTACGGTGCTGGATTGAAGGACATGGCTTGACTTGTGGTCATGCAGTACTCAAGTGCTTCCAGTGATTCTCAGCGTCGACGCTTACTGAGTGCAGGCTGCAAGCGGCAGACGGCAAACAGCAGCGTTTGGACAGCTCATTGAAATGGCGAGCCGTGCTTACCAAGTTCGTAGTCACGGCGACCTCAGTAAACTTGAGTGCACTGTTGTTTGCTGTGCTCTGCTCACTTCTTTCAGCGATTTGATGGTTGCCAGGTTCTTGTTTGGTGTCTACAGCGATAAGTGCCATGTTCAGGCCTCTACAGCTCACAGCTCGCTTGCTGCGCTTTGTGTGCCACAAAGGGCTTCCACTGCTTGTCATGCTTGGGGTGCATGCCACGTTGACGATGGCCAAAGTGTGATTGAATTGCTTGCCGGAAACGTTATTGCCAGCCTTCTTTGCCTTTTGATTGCTTGTCTTCACTTATCATTTCCCATGGTCAGACAAGCATTTGGGGGTCAATTCGCTTACTCGTGGACTCACTTCATTCTCTACTCTTCCCATGCTCGCACACCATCTTTGCTATCTTTGCTGTCATTATCACTGCTTATGCTCATGGAGATCATAGCAAACATCATCAAACAAACAGAACAGTGTGTTTGCTGCACCGATGGAAATACCGTGCTTGCACTGCTGCGGCCGTCCAACATCTGCGCTGCCCACCTCACACTCCGGCGTAGCTTCATCCTGTTCAGCAAAACAAGATCCACAGACCCCCGGGCAACGGCACAAGAGAAGCGATCCGTCCCGACGCCTGCGCCGAGTCGCACTCTGCTGGCTCCTTGGATGAGCAAAAGTACGTTGTGTTGTGAGACAGGCAAACATACCAAGGCTCACAAATCTTGCCAACAGCTGCCTCCCCAGCCAATGATCAAAAGATCTTCCATGGATACAATCTTGAATGCTTTCCGAGCTTCCGTGACTATCTCACTAAGAGCGACTGGACCTGGATAGGCAAATCAAAGCTGCACGCTTAGATGTAAGCAACATGTTTCAACAGCTCTCGAGGTCTGGCGCATCATTGATTTTAAGGGCTCTGGCTGTCAGCGCGACCTGCCAAGTTCAAATGACCTATTGAGGTCTCACTCCCATCAATCATCAATGCGGTAAAGCAACGGCTGGTCCGACGCCATGAAATTACCATAGTAAATATGGTACAGTGCTGAAAGCCATGAAATGTGAAGCAAAACCGGCCACACCACTAGCACCACTAGCACAGCACCAATAGCATCAGCACCAATGGCATCAGCACCAATCATGTCAGGCCAGCAAGCTGAGAAAATACAGTATCGTAAAATTGAAACATATCCATTCTCTATTTTGGCTACCCTAGCGGCTAGCTTGAGGTGCCATAATCTAGTATTAACACACTTCTGCGCGATGCGCGGCCTCCTTCAATTCAACAATTTAATATGAGCAGCACTCACATGCTGTCAGCAGGAGTAGCAATCGAGTCCATGTGTTGAAAGAAGGGAATGGCATGCAATAGAATCATAGTGGAGCTAGAATCTGTTGTATGTTTCAGTTGCCAAACAGCGGCTTGGATTTGATTGCTTTCTGTTGGGGATCGTTTTACAGTGCCTGGCACCTTTTGACTTAGAAGACAGCAAAAGAGAGAATACATAGACTTCTGCGCAAGGCGGGTCGCCTCCAGCTGTCTTCAAAGGTGTGCCTGCGCCTGCGCCTGTGCGTGTGCCTGTGCGTGCGCGTGCGCGTGCGCGCGTGCGCGTGCGCGTGCGTGTGTGCGCGTGCGCGTGTGCGCGTGCGTGTGCGTGTGCGTGTGCGTGTGCGGGCGGGCACGCGGGTATGGGTGGGTATGGGTATGGGTGAATATGGGTATGGGTGGGTATGGGTATGGGTGGGTATGGGTATGGGTGGGTATGGGTATGGGTGGGTATGGGTATGGGTGGGTATGGGTGTGGGTGGGTATGGGTATGGGTGGGTATGGGTATGGGTGGGTATGGGTATGGGTGGGTATGGGTATGGGTGGGTATGGGTATGGGTATGGGTGGGTATGGGTATGGGGTGGGTATGGGTATGGGGTGGGTATGGGTATGGGTATGGGTATGGGTATGGGCGGGTATGGGTGGGTATGGGTATGGGTATGGGTATGGGTCTGGGTATGGGTATGGGTATGGGTATGGGTATGGGTAGGTATGGGTATGGGTGGGTATGGGTATGGGTGGGTATGGGTATAGGTGGGTATGGGTATGGGTGGGTATGAGTATGGGTGGGTATGGGTGGGTATGGGTGCGTATGGGTGGGTATGGGTGGGTATGGGTGGGTATGGGTGGGTATGGGTGGGTATGGGTGGGTATGCGTGGGTATGGGTGGGTATGGGTGGGTATGGGTGGGTATGGGTGGGTATGAGTGGGTGGGTATGGGTGGGTATGGGTGTGGGTGGGTATGGGTATGGGTGGGTATGGGTATGGGTGGGTATGGGTGTGGGTGGGTATGGGTGTGGGTGGGTATGGGTGTGGGTGGGTATGGGTGTGGGTGGGTATGGGTGTGGGTGGGTATGGGTGTGGGTGGGTATGGGTGTGGTGGTATGGGTGGGGTGGGTATGGGTGTGGGTGGGTATGGGTGTGGGTGGGTATGGGTGTGGGTGGGTATGGGTGTGGGTGGGTATGGGTGTTGGTGGGTATGGGTGCGGGTGGGTATGGGTGTGGGTGGGTATGGGTGTGGGTGGGTATGGGTGTGGGTGGGTATGGGTGTGGGTGGGTATGGGTGTGGGTGGGTATGGGTGTGGGTGGGTATGGGTGTGGGTGGGTATGGGTGTTGGGTGGGTATGGGTGTGGGTGGGTATGGGTGTGGGTGGGTATGTGTGGGTGGGTATGGGTGGGTGGGTATGTGTGGGTGGGTAGGTGTAGGTAGGTGTGGGTTGGGGTCTTGTGCTGTGCTGTGATGCGCTGTGAGGTACTGTTGTACGTTGTGCATTTTGTGGTCTGTTGTGTGTTCTCTGGCCGTGATGATTGTTGTGTGCGTGGGAAGCTAGATCGACAATCCCGCACAAGAAAAAACCTCATATTGTAATTAAACAATGGAAGGCGGCCAGTGCCAAGAACACCAGACAAGTTGCATTGTTGCAAGTCAGAAGCTACGGAAGGCTGATGACAAAGGTTATCCGCACAACAGAGAACAAAACTTGTCTATTGTGAACATGGCAAGCTGACAAGTGCACATCTTTGCGACATATCACATTGGTACCAAGACGCAACACCAGCGAGGGTCACAGCACACTAGAAACAGCTTTCTCTGCCATGGTGTTGCCAATATTTGCATTGATCAACTTTGTCAAACGTCGTCAAACTGCACATGTCCAGCCTCCCTTGCCGGGAGTCGGGGTCTGAGCGGGTTTCCAATAGCATGCATCATGCATCTGCGGCTCTTCTGCAACTCTTCTGCCCCCTTATATTGCTTTTCCTGCCTTTCCTGCCTCTCTCCTACCTCCCTCTTGCCTCTCTCCTGCCTCGCTCATCTCTCTCCTATCATGTTTCTATCCGCAAAGTTGCCACGCCTTGCGACGGGGTCTCGCAGCAACAGCGGTTGAGGCTGCATCTACCTGGCTGTCACCACAAGCCTCAAGCCTAGGACTGACTTGCCCGCCTCCTCACGCACTCCCTCAGGCAGCCTAGGCCCCGGCTGGTGCTAAACTCAAGTCAGCTTGCATCTCACCGAGGAACCCATCGCAGTCCAGTGCCATCTTGCCGATATTTTTGTTGCGAAAGCGGAGGAACTCCTTCGTACAATGCGTCATTTGTCCTACCTGACGGTTCTGTTGGTTCTGCAAACTGTCTCATCTTGTCCTGTGTGGTGCGCTCGTCGACCTCCTGAAGCTCTCGCCGCCTGAGACAAAGGCCAGGCAGCCAAGATCATTTGCTCAAGCTCTTTGCCTTGCATGGCGGTCCACTACACACTCGATTTGTTCATGATGAACGTCTTACAGATTAGAAACCTGCCCTCCTACGAGTTGCACAGACGTAACTGGGCGTCAAAGGTCGAGCACTCAGTCGCCAGCTTTCGTTGCACGATTTCGGACCTAGTCTCATGGCCCTGACTCCTCAGCCTGGCAACCGAGTTCATTAATCTCATGGGCCGCTGCAATGCAATGCGCGTGTGGGTGCAACAGCGCTGTTCAAGGCTCTTCAGTCCCCGTTCAACTAAACTGGGACCAGCCCGCAAGTGTCCGGTTTGT